AATATTGCCAAGTGGATGTAAAAAATATGAATCTTTTAAGCTGATAACTGTAAGAAAGAAAATATAATACAATTTACAAAACTTACAACATTACTTTCAAGTGTCCCAAGACTTTTTTCAATAATTTCAGTTACTACTTAATATTCTGATTCATATTGAGACATAAGCAAACATCTAATGAAAACCATACCCAAGGTGGATCATTGGACCTTCTGGACCAATAGGAAGTCCTGCACCAACTGCACAAACACAGGAGAAAAACTTGACTACCATAGTCTTGAGGTTAAAGATGTGTCGCACTACTGTGCCATTTAGGAAACCAATCAGTTCCGGAATGCCAGAACCTCCAGCAGAAGGACGATAATACTGTTAGAACCAAAAATCAAACAAGTTTTATTGTTTAGAAGAAGACAAATCTTTGCTGACTTTATTTTCTCATTTTATTTCATTAGGAATCCCCATATCACTCCCATAAAGAACCAAAAAGGAATTTCTTCTCCAAAAATGAAAACATACTTAAGCAGAAAGGTGATGAAATTTTCAAAGCTTAAATTATGGAAAAAGTACAGCAGACAGTACTGTAGAGAATTGACATCTATATCTTGGGAATTATAGAGTCAAGTAGAAAAATTTTAAGTTGTATACCCACCACAACTGGAACAGAACTTGCTATGACAAAAAGTACACTATAACCAATGACCCATATCCAAGCTAAGCCAAACTCACGATCCTATAGAGAAAGAACTGATTTGTTTACATGTAATTTTCACAGAAAGGAAAGGAATCACTAATTAATGAGTAATATTTCTAGGGTTTTTCAATGTTTTTGGTATTATGTTGAATCAAATAATGTGGTTTGTTTTTTAAGTACATTGCCTTTAGTTAACAATTTTGAGTTTTCTTTCAAGTGAACATTAAATGAAAGGAAACAGGAAACATAACTGCAATAACTTTTACTCACATACCTTTATAAACTCAGAGGCTTTGTCCCATTTTACTCTATTGAAAATGGAAGAAAAATACCAAATACATACATACTGTGTAAACTATATTTATTGTACATTATTCATTAATTCTTATATCAGTAATGAGATTCTTACTATTACAGGTCATAGCTCTGGAGCTTTCATTGCAGGTCACTTGCAAACCTTTACCTTGTGACTTTACCAGTGATAGACCAACATGCTTAATATCAAAATAATTATCTCTACCATAATTAAAAACAACAAAAGGAAAGGCAGTTATTGTATGGTAAACCTTTTCCATGTTCTCCCAGAAGCCATTGCCAGTTATTACATTGTTCAATAGATAAAGAGTGCAAAGACTTGCTTTAACAAAAATCAAAAAACAAAAAACCAAAAAAACAGACAGCCAATGTGTACATTTAAGCTTTCAAATTAATAAATTATTATAATAATAATAATTTAGCAAATTTTAAGAAGACCTCTTCTGAAAATCCCATGCCTATCCTTGGATTAAATAAGTCTTAAAAGGCTTTCTGGCCAACATTTCTAAATAATATAAAATGTTACCAACAAATAAGGATGGAAAGCAGCTTAAGTGATAATTTGCATGTCAATAAAATAATAATTAGTGTTGAATCCTATCATTTATGAAAGAGCTGTATAATGAACCCCTTAACTGCCAACCCCACTGAAAAGTCCTGTGCAAACAGAAATTGACTGATTATTTCTCACAATTTTAACTTGATTTGAGCTTTAGATGCCAGTTTATTTTACATCTTCAGTGCCAGAGATTTGACTGTAACTCTCTAACTTTGGACAAACATAGTATCTCATGTAAGCACAAACTGCGAATTGCATGATGTACTTGGTACTTCATGCAGGCAGTGAAGGGCATGTTAAGTTTGATTCATCATCAGCGACACACACAGCTACAACAGTTTACCTGCATTTGCAATCTATGCACTCAAAAGCTGTGCACACAATCTAAGAATTGTATATGCCAAGATATACATCAAACATCAAATTTAACATTTGTGTTCATCAAGTTATATTGCACACAACAAGGATAAATAAGATTTTTTTTTTTAGATAAAAAACATGACTGTATAATATTTGTAATACAACATCAGCAAGACATACTCTGATATGACATCAATAAGTTGATGCATAAGAAATCCAATAAATCCAACTGAGAATCCAATCATTCCCATCATCACCCACCGGTCCCAATCAAGACGTGATGGCTGCTGCTTTAACCAGTTCTAGAATTAACAAATAAATCATTCAAATTAACAAACGACCTCCCAAAGGAGGGAGACACTTAGAAAGAGTTTTGGAGGGAAGTGCACATGCCAATGAGGCCTTTTAAACCCTGGACCCATTCAAAACAATGTCCATTAAGTGAGATACATAAGCAAACTGAGTTATGGAGTGTATGACCCTAAAAGCAGGTAAACGTTAGGTTCAAATGTTATTATACATGTCAAACTTAACCCCTTCAACCTCCAGAAGTGATTAACATGCAACTTCTTCCTACAATATCTATATGTTATCCAGCAAACAGGTAATGAAAATACTCAAAACTTGTCAGGTAGAAGTTTTCATCTTGATCTAACACCAAATTCTTGTACCTTCCTTAAAAAGAAATGTTTAGAAGCTTAAGGGAGAATTAACAATTAGATCTTGGGTTAAGCAATAACATGCACTAACAAGAAAAATATTTTGAATACGACACCCTAGATTTAAGTGAGTCAAGCACCTCAGTTCCGTAACGTATGTCCACCTAAAACGGTATATCATTCTCTTTGCAAATTTCTAGTTGGAGAGCAAACTTTGAGATCGAGAAACGTGTAAGAGCTTTGCCTTGACCTTCCCGGAAGCAACCTACGATGCACACACCCTCGCTCTACCCTTGACCGCGCTAAATTGTGGCGTTCGCCATTTACTTCTTTCAGAGTCGCTCACTGACCTTGTACACAGCACTGTGAGGAGGTAGATAGTCTACACTTTCAAATGTAGCGAGCTTCTCCTTTTCCTCCTCCGTGTAATGGTGATTTACATAGCGACTTTCGAATTCGCGTCCCTTTTGGAAGAAGCTTGTCTGATTTGCTGTTGGTAGAGCGTCTTCATCCGCGTGAGAAGATGACACACCGTACTTGCTTGGTTTTCTTCTTATGGACATTTCTTACAAAAGGGAAACAGACCTCTCAGAGTAGCAAAATAATCAAGTATTTGCTTGCAAATCCAGCTTTTTCTTTACTGCATTCCGAGCGCCTTTGATGCCGCTTACCAACCTGTCATCCGAGATGTTTTTGTCCGAGAACTGGTCGTTACAGTCCGAATACATCCGATTATTCCCGAAGGTCGATCGTATAACGGAATCGTCCAAGTGATCGTGTTATCACAGCCATCGCCAGCAAACCGCGAGCAAACGTTAACATGTACTTTGAAATTAATAAGTCATGAAGAAAAAAAAAGAACGGAAAGTGGGAAACAATTACCCTTGAGGTAGAGCGACCATCCAATATGTTAGTCCTAAGAATCGCCAACGAGAGATGACTGTTGGTGGTAAATACATGAGTTAACTCAACTTAATGCCTGAAGCGTAATACTCTCATCCTTAAACTGGTGTTACCAGGGATTGCAGAGGTGTCCCGAGGAATTCACCAAAAATGTTCACCAGTACTCTCTCGGCTCGTAGGTTCCTTCGTTGGTCCTCGATGTTAAAATTCTTTCTCAGTATCGCCAGTATCGCACAAACAGACCCACTTGTTGCTAGGCCGAGTAAGAGATGAACTGACTTGTGAGTACAAAGGAAAATTCATTCGTTAAGCAATTCGTTTACGGGTTTAAATCAAGCCTACATATAAGTCTGGTTAAGAACATCTAGAAGACCTCCTAAACAACCGAAGAGGAAAATGTCTTTGAAGGTTTGAGTGAAATCAAGTGTGTCCAATATAAAATTCGCTTTGATTCCGAAGCAACACCAATCTTCTACATTCCACCCCCAGCAGGTCCCCAGCTGCCCTTGTAAGCTCTCTTAGCCCTCTAACTCCCAAGATCCAATCATTAATTCTCCTTACTAACTGCCATACATATCCTTGTTTCTTATGCAAGAGAATTGATTCCAAATCACGATAACACAATCTAACTGATAGTAACATATTAGGATCGCAGGGAGGAGTTATCTGTTCATATCTTCAAAGTGCTTAAGGATATAAGAGGAATTTTCAACTTCGTAACAGACCTCGCCGCGCCTCGCCACCGTGGAGTCTCTGTGGCTCAGTGGTAGAGCATCGGAGCGCGGAATCCGAAGGTCTGAGGTTCGATTCCTCGTGAAGACTCAGAATTTTTTCTTTGTCCCACACTCGTGACAAGACGAAAAAAACATCATTCTTGATATAAGAGGACTTTCAAGAAGCAGGCCCTCACCATTAGCAATGCGGGATACGCATTTCTTCACCCGCGGGAAGATTTGAGACAGTCGAGGAAAGATTTGCCGAGATTTGTCTGGCACTCATGCTATCAGTACTACGTCCCCTTACAGACCTCGCACCGGCTGTCGTCGCTCCAGGCCTCCAACATACCCGTGGGCAAAGAATCGCACGTGCCAAAGCGCTTATATTGAGGGCCTTGAGCTGAGCTCTATGTAAACTTGACGTTGATGTGCGAAACCTGTCAATGAGCCTGGAAAACAGAAGAAAAACTTCCACCAAACTATTTATAGTGACTGCCTTCTTCCTCAAGCAAAACATGTTCAAGTTTTTTTTCACTGCTCTCTTATATCAAAAGTTGAATAAGACCTAAAAGAATATGGCCAATCAGAGTTAGTGGAGTCCCTGTGCTAACTCTGATGGAAGTTATGGAATTTTTTGTTGTTTATGTCCAGAGGAGTATTATATTAAAAATAGCTTTGTTCAATGATAAGTTTTAAGAAAAGAATAAACTGGTCATCTCATTTACAGCTCTTTTAACGCATCCTGTCTAATCAGGTGTAATCATGTGAGTTTGGTGGTTTAGTTGAAAAAAAAATTGATGTCTGAGTTTCCACCAGCTCAGCACAAAAGGGCCACAGGCCAAAAGAAACGGTAAGCCTGGGGACAAGAATGACTGCGAAAGTGACAGAAAGAAGCATAAGATCACGTTCTATTGGCATTTTTTGTGAGTGACAGCTGACATGTGTTAGGAAAAAACTGAACAGAGTAGCGGAGGTGGTTAACTGTATTTTTTATGGCGAGGCATTGAAGTCTACAGGTTTTGGTAAGTACTGGTTGTATTCAAAAAATGATACAGTTTAACTTATTTGCCACTGTCAGTGCCTTTACGTAGCTTACATACATCATTTTTGTTTGGAGCGTCAGTGTTCTATCATGCTATATTCAATGTTATGATCTATGTCTTCGATAAAAACTGAGAGTTAATGTCTATCAAATAGAAAGACAATCACAAATAGCGAGGTCGAATTAAAAAATTATAAATACCATTTGGAATATTGAAATTTTTTGCGATCGACTGAATCGCATATCACCAGCGCTGGTAAATTGATTTCTGTAGCAATATATTTGGATCCGACCTCTTCAAAGTTTTTGTCACACGTCGTACTGTCGAGCTAATCTTGCACAGGAAGGAATAGAGTATTAAGGAAGCAAAAATGAAATTTATATATTTTTTCGTTCTCCAGAAGATAGGGGAAGATGTTTCCTCTTTAGTTCATGTATTTCGGTTTTTTATATCTAACTTATATAACTAATGATGGATTTGAGCATGCAAAAATAAAACAATTTATTCTGTTTTACAGGGAACGTCAGCCTTTGGTGTTCATTTATTTTGACCGCTTGGATTTTCATTACAAGATTGATCAAAGTGCAATTGATCCTTCTGCTTTCAAAAGGTAAGCCATCTCCGCGATTTTCCACGCTTTTCGTTTTCTATTGAGTGTGATTTTCATGATCAAGATACTAAGTAAGTTCCTAAATCAAGAAAACGGATGAACTTCATCCTGCGAGTTTCTCTACGATTATCACTTCACTAAGAGATACCTTTTTAAGTGTTAATCAAGATAAGACTTCGATGAAGTAACGAGTGGGTGACATTAGAGTTAGGATCTACATAGATCGACACTCTAAAATGTATAACAATTGATAACATTTTGGGGAGGGGAGGGAGGGGGAGTGAACCTGGACCAACATATGTAGCAGGATCCTTGAACCTAATCTCCTAAAAGTCGCATCAGTCACCCCTGCTACTCTCACAATTTTATTTCTGCTTCGCTTTGACTATGAAACCAGCAATTTGAGAGCTTTCAATGGGTATTCAAAAAAATGATACAGTTCAACTTATTTCCCACTGTTAGTGCCTTTACATAGCTTACACAAATCATTTTTGTTTAGAGTCTCAGTGTTCTATCATGCTAACATGTTCTATCATGTTCTATCATGCTATATTCAATGTATATTCTATGAGAGGTAAAACTGACAGGTAATGTCTATCAAATAGAAAGACAATCACAAATAGCGAGGTCGAATTAAAAACTTGAAATACCATTTTGGATATTGAAATTTTCTGCGAACGACTGAATCGCATATCACCAGCGCTGGTAAAATTGATTTCTGTAGAGATATATTCTGATCCGACCTCGTCAAAGTTTTTGTCACACGTCGTATTGTCGAGCTAATCTTGAGAAGGACGGAATAGAGTATTAAGGAAGGATAAATGAAATTCGTATATTTTTTCGTTCTCCAGAATGAAGATAGTGGATGATGTTCCCTTTTTTTTCATGTATTTCGGTTTTTTATAACTAACTTATATAACTAATGATGGATTTGAGCATGCAAAAGTGAAACAATTTATTCTGTTTTACAGGGAACGTCAGCCTTTAGTGTTCATTTTTTTTGACCGCTTGAATTTTTATTACAAGATTGATCAAAGTACAAGTGAACCATCAGCCTTAGAAAGGTAAGCCATCTCCGCGTTGTTCCACTGTTCAAGACTTTTTATTTTCTAGTAGGTGTGATTTGCATGATCAAGATACTGAATAATTTACTAGATAAGGAAAACGGATGAAGTTAAGCGTGCGCGCGAGTTTCTCTAAGATGATCACTTAACTAAGAGTTACCCTTTTAAGCGTTAATCTAGATAAGACTTAGATAAAGTAACGAGTATGTGACATTAGAGTTAGGATCTACATAGATCGAAACTCTCTAAAAAATATACAACAATTGATAACATTTTGGGCAGGGGAGGGAGGGGGCATGAACCTGGACCATACTTATGAAGCGGGATCCTTGAAGCTAATCTCCTGAAAAGTCTCATCAGTCATCCCTGCTACTCTCGCATTTTTATTTCCGCTTCGCTTTGGCTATGAAACACTACAATGCGATGAAAGCGATGTTGATGATAATTTGATGTCTAGAACACCTAAAAACTTGGGCCAACTTCGAACAGGATTTTCATGTCAGAAAAATGGAAGTCGAATCATGAATAAATTCATCTACTTTTTTCCTAATTCATAAGTGGAAAATACAGAAAGACGCTGAGCAATTTACGCCGAATATTAATTGTTCCCCTTAAATTACTTGTGTTTCGGTTTTGAATTTTATAAACAATGATGCATTTGAGCATGCAAAAAGGAAAAAAATTGTACTTGTTCAGTACAGAGATCGTCAGCCCTTAAGTGTTCATTGCTTTTAAACAGTTGGATTTTCATCACGAGATCGATCACAGTTCAATTAAATAGGGTATTTTCCAGTGTTTGGGTGTGAGGATCGACTCTTTACTGGTGAACTTTTCATTTTCTAATGAGTGTGATTTGCATCATTAATAACAAAGACACTATATAATTTACTATATAAGCTAAACAGATGAAGTTATTAGTGTGAGTTTCTGCCAAGACGATTATTTTAGTAAATGTTACCCTCGAAAGTTTTCATCTTGGTGGAAGGAAAAGAAAAGTTCAGCAGGTTACTCTGAGCTTCAAGTTCTTCGGTTTAGGTATTTGTATTTCGGTTTTGTTAGTTGAACTTAGATAAACATTGATGGATATGAGCATGCAAATGAAACAATTTACTTTGTTTTACAGGAAACGTCAGCCCCTAGTGTTCATTGCGTTTTGACGGTTGGATGTTCATCACAAGATCGATCACAGCACAATTGAAGTTTCTGTCTTTAAACGGTAGGGTATATATAAGTTATGACTGACTGAATGTTTTAAAATCATAAAATGTGGGGCAGGAAATGCAACTGATTGACCCCTTGGGCTCCCCAGCAGGAAGTGCAATCACACTCATACTGATTCCAGTCCCGTAAACGCTTCATTTCAATACAGGGTAGGACCTCCGTCGGGATGAGAAATCCAAGATTCCTGAAAAACTTCGCACCCATGAACCCTTGTACAGGAACTTTCGAGTGTCATATACTTGAGCTACATTTTTTTTTCCAAACCTACAGTGATCAAGGCCATATGAAAAACACAGAAGAGGAATTCACCACGTTAGCTATCAAAATAGGTGTAACTGTCGCCATTTTCCTTCTCAACACTGGTTTGGCCTTGAAAGCCATCGAGCTGTGCCAAGAAAGTTTGATTTTACTAAACAACGGTGATTTAAGTGCGGACAGTCCAGTTGCCAAATCATTTGACGAACGCATCCGCACCACAGTGAAAAGGGCGTGGTTCACTCTATGGAATTCACCAGGTATTGAAGAATACCTCGAGGAACTTTTACTTCACCCTGAAGAGGTAAAGAAATTTTATGAATTAGCAATAAATGTCATGAAAATTACCAAAAACAGACAAAAAGAAGCAACAAGCTACGCGAACATGGGTGTACTGTTCAGGTCGCTTGGCAAATATGACAAGGCCCGAGAATACCTGGAGAAAGCTCTCGCTATTCAAATAGAAATTGGCGACAGACATGGAGAGGCAAGAGTCTATGGGAGCCTCGGAACAGTGTTCCGGTCGCTTGGCAAATACGACAAGGCCCGAGAGTACCTGGAGAAAGCTCTCGCTATCCGAATAGAAATTGGCGACAGAAATGGAGAGGCAAGAGTCTACGGGAACCTCGGACCACTGTTCATATCGCTTGGCAAATACGACAAGGCCCGAGAATACTTGGAGAAAGCTCTCGCTATCAAAATAGAAACTGGCGACAGACATGGAGAGGCAACAAACTACACGAACCTCGGACCACTGTTCATATCGCTTGGCAAAAACGACAAGGCCCGAGAATACTTGGAGAAAGCTCTCGCTATCCAAATAGAAATTGGCGACAGACATGGAGAGGCAAGAGTCTATGGGAACCTCGGAACAGTGTTCCGATCGCTTGGCAAATACGACAAGGCCCGAGAGTACCTGGAGAAAGCTCTCGCTATCAGAATAGAAATTGGCGACAGAAATGGAGAGGCAAGAGTCTACGGGAACCTCGGACCACTGCTCATATCGCTTGGCAAATACGACAAGGCCCGAGAATACTTGGAGAAAGCTCTCGCTATCAATATAGAAACTGGCGACAGACATGGAGAGGCAACAAGCTACACGATCCTTGGACCACTGTTCATATCGCTTGGCAAAAACGACAAGGCCCGAGAATACTTGGAGAAAGCTCTCGCTATCCAAATAGAAATTGGCGACAGACATGGAGAGGCAAGAGTCTATGGGAGCCTCGGAACACAGTTCCGGTTGCTTGGCAAATACGACAAGGCCCGAGAGTACCTGGAGAAAGCTCTCGCTATCCGAATAGAAATTGGCGACAGAAATGGAGAGGCAAGAGTCTACGGGAACCTCGGACCACTGTTCATATCGCTTGGCAAATACGACAAGGCCCAAGAATACCTGGAGAAAGCTCTCCCTATCCAAATAGAAATTGGCGACAGACATGAAGAGGCAAGAGTCTATAGGAGCCTCGGAACAGTGTTCCGGTCGCTTGGCAAATACGACAAGGCCCGAGAATACTTGGAGAAAGCTCTCGCTATCCAAATAGAAATTGGCGACAGAAATGGAGAGGCAAGAGTCTATGGGAGCCTCGGAACAGTGTTCCAGTCGCTTGGAAAATACGACAAGGCCCGAGAGTACCTGGAGAAAGCTCTCGCTATCCAAATAGAAATTGGCGACAGAAATGGAGAGGCAACAGTCTATATGGGCCTCGGAACAGTGTTCAAGTCGCTTGGCAAATACGACAAGGCCCGAGAATACTTGGAGAAAGCTCTCGCTATCCAAATAGAAATTGGCGACAGAAATGGAGAGGCAACAAGCTACGCGACCCTCGGATCACTATTCATGTCGCTTGGCAATTATGACAAGGCCCGAGAATACCTGGAGAAAGCTCTACGTATTTGCAGGAGAATTGGCGACAGAAAAGGAGAGGCAGACACTTTTCTAAACCTTGCATTTTTGTTTCTGTCCCTTGGTAAATATTCAAAGGCTGACGATTTTTTGGAGAGAGCGAACGCGATTTGGAGGGAAATCGGCTACAGACAAGGAAAAGCAGGATATTTCCAATGCTTAGGAATAATTTCTCATAAGCGTGGTGAGTACGACAATGCTCTAGAATATCACAAGAAAGCCCTTAAAATTGACATGGATATTGGCAGGAAAGACGGTATTGTTGTCAGTTACGCAGATATAGCATCGTGTTTCCAATCGCTCGGTAAATATGACGACGCCGAGGAGTACCTCAAGAAGGCTCTCCTACTAAGCAGGGATATTGGACACACCTTCAATGAGTTTCACTGCCTTCTTGTTCTTACGGCGTTGAAGTTATCACAATTTGATCTTCAAGAAGCCTTTTCGTTTCTTTTCCAAACTATTGAAATGTTTGACACTTTGCGAGGATCTCTTGAAGACAACGATCAGTTTAAAACATCATTTTTGGAGAAGCACGGAACCTTTCCCTACGAGTTACTCAGTCGTTTGCTTTCTTCCATGACAAAGCCACAAGACGCCCTCTATGTCGAGGAGCTGAGACGGGCGAGGGGCTTAGCCGACTTGATGGCAGCTAGGTACTCTGTTGTAGAGCAGATCTCAGGCGATCCAAAATCATGGCATGGGATTCAAAATATTGTCGCAAAGGAAACTGACTGTGCATGCCTCTACATTTCTGTTGGAGAAAAGCGTATGCGCTACTGGATTCTCAAAGCAACAGGGGCTATTCTTTTTTCAGATAAGAAAGTGAGCCTGGAAAAAAACGTGCTGACCGGATTAGTCCCTCACTTGGATGAGTTTTTTACGCAAAGCTTTCGTGGCCTTGGCATTTTACCCGAACAGGATTGCGAAGATCGATCTCTAGATGACGCCGAATCGGTGTCACTTTACCATGAAAATCACCCGCTCTTGCGCGATTGTGATGACAAAGGTATCAAGACAAATCTTCACTTGTGCTACAAGATAATCATCGCTCCTGTGGCCGCTTTACTGAAGGAGCCCGAAATTATCATCGTCCCTGATTCCTGTATGTATCAGGTACCATTTGCGGCCTTAACTGACGATGGAAGAAACTTTGTATCAGAGACATTTAGGTTACGCATCGTTCCCTCTTTGATGACTCTCAAGCATATTCAGGACAGTCCCCCATACTATCACAGTCAAACAGGTGCACTGATAGTGGGTGACCCTCGGGTTGGAGAGGTGATTTACAAGGGAAGACGCATGAATATAACAGGATTGCCATGTGCAAGAAAGGAAGCAGAGATGATTGGAAGACTTCTTGGTGTCACACCTTTGATTGGAGATCGTGCGACAAAGCAGGCTGTACTTCAAGCAATACATTCAGTGAGTCTGATCCATTTAGCTGCCCATGGTGATGCTGAAAGAGGAGAGATTGTCCTTTCCCCTGAGTGTCCCGCTGACTATGTTCCACGAGAAGAAGCCTTCCTCTTGACGATGGAGGATATTTCACGAATTAAGCTGCGAGCTAAACTGGTTGTGCTTAGCTGTTGTCACAGTGCACGTGGACAGATTAAAGCCGAGGGCATTATTGGAATCGTTCGAGCGTTCTTAGGATCCGGTGCTCGCTCAGTCTTGGCGGCACGGTGGGCCTTAGATGACACAGCCACAGAGAAGTTCATGACTTGTTTCTACGAGCACTTGTTCCGTGGTGAAAGCGCCAGTGAATCTCTTCACGAGGCTAGGAAATGGATGAGAAACAATGGCTTTGTAGAAATCTCTAAGTGGGCGTCTTTTATGCTGATTGGCGACAACGTGACGTTTGATTTTGCAAATTGGCCTGTGTCTGCTACAACCAAATAGCCATGAATCAAGTAAACCCGCTGTAACGGAATGTGCTGGACTGAGCAAAGCTAGAAACTGTGAACTGCCACCGTATAGAAAGAGGAAGCCATCTGCGAGAGACGCGTGCGAGCTAAATTTCAAGTACTCAGCTATTGTCAAAGTTAAACATTCCTGTAAAGAGCGCAGCAGGGACAGAACAATTCATAAAGTAGAGATGATGAACAGTTAGCAGTTACTGAACTCTCAAACGGAATAGTTAAATAATCAAGCCAAGCATATTGTAACTAATGTTTTTCGAAAGCGATTAATATATCAAGCAAAGCAAATTTTAAGTAATATTCTTTCGAAAGTGATACGTCGTGTAGCCCTAGCAAATATGGAGTAATTGTTTTTCTAAGAGGCTCTCTATCATGTCAAATGCGCAGAGTTTTTTTCAAGGTTAAAAAGTATACTCGTACATAATTGTTCTGATTTTTTCAGGAAATCATATGAAATCTCAAGCGTGATGATAAAACGTTTTCTCTAATAGGGTAAGATTTTCAAAGGTTTTCAAAATTTTTTTTCGGTTTCATTTGTTTGGTTTTTTTGCGTGGAACTGTCTCAAGTATTTTTATGAAGTGATCTTCATGCCCAATATATATATCGACTTCGGGGTAACGCTAATTTTTTTGACTTCATTAAATTAATTCCTCGGGAAATTAGCATTTTCTTATTTTTACTGACGATAAAGATTTTTATAGCTGGTCACACGAGCAGTCTACAACTGTATAGTTTAGGATTCTAGATTGATATTTGATGATGGCCCTCAAGTTAAAAATACCTCTTCGAATTTAAAGGGAAGACCACATATCCCTTATTTTTGTACGAAAAAAATCGTAGATTAGGAGTTAAGAAGGTTAATCCGAGCACGGTTACTGGGAACATTTTCGTACAAAAATTTCTACCGGACTTCGTTAGACTTCAGGTATTTGTACCTATTTTTTTTAAAAAAAATTGTTGCTTAGACCATTTATTTTACTACAATCATTAAGATGATGTTAGTTATTCTTAATTATTATGACATACTGAATGAAGGGCAGTTGTTTTTTCCCTTCAACTAAATAAACACTTCGATTCTCATGGCCGGCAGTCCCTCTCTGATTGTTAGATTTTATATGTTGGACTTGCTTGATCGGAACTAGTAAAATACAACTTCAAATTATGGCTGTCTTTGCGAGCGGGAAAGATTTGGCGAATCCTGTGGCTACCAGAGTATGCTAGTCGCCGGATCACCGACCAACGTGAATCTTCATGAGGAATTAATCTAAACTGCTGCTCACTTGTTCTATTTCATGGCAGGTGAAGGCAAGAAGCTTTAAAGTTAGGCTTAAAGACATAGAACATGAAATGAAGTTCTCTCAAAAGAGAACTGAAAGCTGAGTGATGTGAAATGATATAATTTATATGGTTTCAGGCCAAGGGACCGGTCAATATTCATGCCTGGGGGGGGGACGGGAGGCGTTAAATGACGAGTGTTTCCGCAGCGCAAGGTTTTTTTTAAAAATGATTCTATAAATAAGTTTCACGCAAAAAAGATTCAAAATATAATTTGGTAATTGCAACATTTATTATTTGTCTGAATCTGTGCCACCTCCTCTCCACCGTAAGAAGAGTGAAAAAAGCTCGTACCCTGCGTCATACGTCATGCAATCGTGACTCAGTACCACTCAAAAATAACAAAATGATTTTAAAACAGTGGATCCTTCACGAAAAATGTCCGAGCTGTGAAGTATCCTAACCGTTAGTGTAACTTGCCGTCAAAAGATACCCAAAACCTTTATTGATGCAGCAAACCTGGACTGAACTTGGATAAAGACATTTTCATGCAGCTTAACACTTTAACCCACGAGGAGTGACAGGCATCTAATTTCTCTTTATAATATCATCTATAAAACGAAATATAAAGGTCACAAGAAAAACGGAAATGATCACCAACTGACGAGGCGCTCGATGGTTACGAAACAAATTCTTTATGTCAGCGTCTTGAGACATGTATGGAGAACAGTATGGAGAATCTGCATGATGATGTTGGGGTGTACAGGGTTACGAAACACAACCTCTCCTTCGCAGCTGTCGTTTATCTCGTCACGCAACTCGCTCTCTCCCGCATTGCGTGAAAAGACCGCATATCAGAGTAACTGTTGCATGAAATGCTTCAATATTGCAACATAACTCTAATATGTGATGTAAAATTGAAGTGACCTTCAGAGTCTCATCACCAAAGCTAAATCATTTCTGACAGAACGTATAACAATTCATGCCCAACAAGAGATGCTAAATTACATGTTTATTGCCAGAAGGATCCACCATTCAAAGACACAGTTACCTTAAAATCACTATTTACATCATATATATTTTTGGCTATTACTTTTAACGTGATATGTGTTTATTTCTTTACAAAACATTTTATTAATACTGTATCTACATATCTTCATGCTAAGGTATGTTTTAAGCAAGCGGCTCAACTTTGGCTCCGAAACAACGTTTTTCCACAACACTTTACTGCATTAAAAATTAACCAACCACTATTAACAACCGTGTTATGAGATTAAGTTATAAAGAGAAGCCATACATTATGCAATACGCTAAAGAAAAATGCGCTCGTTCTGTTATACTTTTGAGACGTTGTATTACTAACATCCCGTCAAAAAAAACTAATTACACTGTACAAATCTGAACGTGAACCAAAAGAACAAATTTGAAAACTACAATTCTAGTAAGCTCCATACACAGATTAACATTTGCAGTAGCTTTCTACTGCTAATTCGCAAATATGATCCAATCCCAACATCTCCATAAACAATGTTGCAAAACAAACTGTTTTGAAAATTTTACTTTGTTAAATGTACAAAATAGCCTGTAACAGAATTTTCTAACAATATGTCTCAGAAAAAGGCTTGGAAAACATAACTTACATTTTCCAAAACCATAAACACTGAGCTTATTTGCAAAAAATTTTATGTTGCCCTTCAATTGTCCAAATCTGGTAGGGGGACTTGCGCTACTCTTTTTGAAAAACATTCAACACCCACCAAAGTTAAGATTGGTGAGCAAATATGATGTTTTAAAAAAAGTTAATATTGGAGTTTTTTTGGAAACTTAGTAGAAAAATACTCCCTTTTTACTAAGTAAATAACAATTTATAGTTATTTAATTTTGTAGGTTAGCTAATTAATAATATAAGCTCTTTAGGGTCTGAAGGCAATAAGTTTGATGACATGCTGTGGACAAAGTTAAAACTTGTTTTGATACTATTAACCCAAATATGATTTACCAAACAACAAACAGAGTTTTCTAATGAATGGCCTGATAAAGCAAATAAGGGGTAAAACTTTATGATACCTACTCAAATGTTGATTTTCAACAAACAAGATGAACAAAGCATAACTAGAATATAAAACATGTCCCTGAAAAATTGGAAATGGAACAATGGATACTGTATTTACAAAATGACTTACATGTGAACTTTGAAACCAAACAACGAATGCCACCAATCACAGTTATACTGCAACAGTAAAATGTAACTGGGGAAACTTAACAATGTTACCAGACAGCACAAGAGAAAAAAAAAGGCATAGAATTTTATAGCAGCAAAACAATGGTAAATCACTATGAAAAATACAGCATGTTAATTTGAAGAACAGCTTCACAATCAAAAATTGTGATCTATCTCCAGAAGATTACACTCCTGTGCACAGGGGCTTCCTTCAGAAACAAAAACTTCCCAATGAAATATGAGTTTTCATTTTACCATATGATTTAATAATTGACATGTGAAACACAACATTGGAAAAGAAAAGTGCTACAAGCAACACTGAAAAAATCCTACAAAAATACTGACCCATAACCTACAATTTTGTAAAATGGAAGTCTTCCCACATGTCTGTGTTTTCAAAAGCAAAACTTTGCCTTCAGTTTCATTAAATAGTGGCTTAATATTTTTAAAAAACTGACCCACCCAAACAGCCACCTTTAATGTAACAACCGATGAATTTTTTAACTGCCATGCTTCAAACATACCTGAAATAAGGCTACTTGAATTTTAAATGGCTATAATTTGATAAACCTATACAATGTACAAAAATTATTTTTTTCCTATGATACAGCCACAAGTACAAAAATTATATATTTAAACGGTAATAATAAGCCCAGAAAAGCAAGAAATTTCCCTTCATCAACAGTCAGACTCTGGTAGATATTCAAACTTGAGTCCATTTTGCACCAGCCTTGTGGAGTAGTGTTCCAATTGCTTTAATAACAGACTAAATGTTGGTCTTGCTTTTGGACTGGATTCCCAGCAGTTTTTCATTAAGAAATATCTGCAAAAAGACACAGTGAAGGTCAAAACAATGCCATAACCCTTTAACTACCAAGATCTCATTGTTAATTTCCCCCCTCCAGCTGTTACACATTTTGTTATAACCTAGTTATGAGAATTTGGTGTTTGATCAAGATAACCTTGACCTGATAAGTATGAGTATTCTCAGTACCTGATTGTTGGATAATTTATGGATTTTATGGGGAGAAGTTATGGGTTAAACACTTCTAGGAGATAAAGGATTAACCTCTGAATGCTCAGACCTGTTTCACAGAAGGATATCAATGTGGACTATTGGAACCCACCCATTCTTTATTTTATTATTAACAAAAGATGAGTTATTTAAGGGAATCACTCCCTTAAAAGAAAAAAAAAGGAAAAAAAAAGAGAAAAATTGAAATTTTAAGTTTACAGCTCATTTTTTTGGTATGGAAATACCACAAGAAACAAAACTTACAAGTCATACGGACAGTTATTAGGTTGTGGTAATCTATGTCCAGCTTGCAGATGCTGCTCCATTTTTGAACTGTCAATAGCTTGATACGGTGCCTTAGCAAGAGTTACAATCTCCCATAAAACAACTCCAAATGACCACTGTGAAGGAATAAATGCCACATATGAGTCATTTATACAACAATGACGCACATCAATAAACAGGCTGTACCAAGGCCACAACCTGTAAAATCTGTTGCTGTTGTGCAAAGTCAATGTCATTGTGATAACAATTGCTCAAGTATCCCTGATTCCTTTCCATGATCTACAAGCAAATTCTCTTTACTGATGGTGATATATTCCTCTATAAGCCACTCATAAGAATTTGATCTCTAAGAGTGGTAAGCATCCAAATTCTCCTCAGTGTATCACCACTAAATCAAACATCAGGGTCATGAGAATAAAAGAAATAATCACTAACTTATGTAGTTCTTTATTGTTAAAGAAATTCTCTTATGCAGTTCTATCGGAAATGTATAGAGAACACTGTGCAGAATAAGCACACTGATTTGTTCTTAACTTGCAAGTACAATTTTCAAATTCATCTCTTCCTCAAGGGTTTAATCTTTATGCAATGTTTAAAGCTAATGATGAACTACCAGCTGAGCGCTTGCAATATAAATTAAGAGTCCTAATTTTGACAAGCCAGGCAAAACCAAATTTATCTTCAAAGAGTGAAAAAGAAATGAAACATACCACATCACTTTTTTCTGAAAATTGACCCTCCTCTGCTAAACCCTCAAGTGCTGTCCATTTGACAAGTAATCTGGACCGTATTCCCTTGTCATTCAAGTTTGTTGTGTTCACATCTCTGGCCAAACTGAAGTCAGTGATCTTGATACTCAAATCATCATTGACACTAGAGGAAAACACTTTCAGATAAGTCTGATTTCCTGAGATGGAAAACCCAATCCCTTCTTAATTTATAAATCATCATCTCAAAATTCAGGGAAATATATTAACCCAAATACTCAGTCAGAGCAACAGCCTCTTTACACCAGCAGTAAACTAGGGCATGTGACTATCAATTGCAAAGTGAAAACTATTAAAATTAGATTGCCTATAAGATTGGAGGCAAATGTTTGAAAAATCTTTATTTTCATGATCTTACAAACCTGAATCGCCTAAATTCTTAGCAAAAAAGAAGAAAACTAAGATAAAAGGCAACTATATGAAACACAAGGCAAACTTAGATAAGAAATACTTACATGCAGTTCTTTGCTGCAAGATTTCTGTGAACAATCTTTTTTTGAGTGATATAATCCATTCCTTTGCAGATCTCAATTCCAAACTCAATAAGCTGGCGTGAGGTTATTGTCTGGGGAAAAAAATCAATTCAAAGTTTTTATTTAAAGATCTAACACATTCTACCTTTCTTTATCTTTGTAATCTTCATTGGTCTAATGATCAGAGGTACACCAATTTCTGGCCAACAATCCCAACCATTTCTTACAGTAGACTGTCTCCACACTCCCTATTGATGCTGTTCTTGTGTTCTCACCTGTACTCTTGCAGATGTTGCTCTTGAAATCTTCAAAAAGTGTCCTAGGTCTCCATTTCGTGTTAGGGGAGTTACGATGTAAGGTGGCGTTGAACGTTGAAGCACCACACCCACCAGTTCCACAACATTTGGATGCTTGAAGCCTTTTATGACCATTGCTTCCTGCATAAAAGAAGTGATGGTGTCCATGTCTGCTTCATCTGTGAAGGATAAAACTGAGTCAAAACACAACTCTACAGAACTCTGTACTGCACTTAAAATATTTCATTAAAAGAATTGAATTAGTTGAAGAAAAGAATGCAGTAGGGAACTACAAACCTCACAAAAAGTTATTCAAACACCTCAATGGCCAACCAAAACCTCACACAAGTGCACAAAAATAACTCCTTTAAAATAATGCATGCTATCCCTAAACTAAGACCATGATAATGTCACAATTTTTGCATATCAAACTCCCACATTACTTGTTTCTGCACTTAACAAATCCACAAGTAAAATGGAAAAACTCCTCAAATTTACTAAATGGAGTATTAGCACTTTGTCTTTGAAAAGCCTAACAAAGGTCATTTGTGCTTCTGCACTATCCTCCTCCAGATGCCACCAGATCACTGTCCTACTCCACTATCCTACTCCAGATGCCACCAGATCACTGTATTAGACACAAACTCCAGAAGATTTTCAGGTTTGGTCTTACCTTGAAGTGCTTTGATGGACACTTCCATTTTCTTGCGAGGTTGCTCTTCACTTAGTCCTCGAACAGAACCTTTATACAAACATCCAAATGTTCCTGCAAAATAAATTTCCAATGGTGAACAAATGAATCAACTTTCCTTGTCACAGACAGTTATTTTTAACCATTTGGAACACTTGGAATAAATTGGCACATGACAATTGTCGCTTGAAACAATCTACCTCTTTCTTTACAGTAATTGGAATGTGATTGTATGTTTATAGGCCAATCTGATCTTAAAAGCTTACTGTTAATAACTACACTTAAACCCAAGGGGCTAACTGTCAGTCACGTTGCTCAGTAATCAAAATTTAAAAGAGGAAAAGCAAGTTTATGTGCCAGGAAATGAAATAACATCCAAAGTTCTTTGCATCTAACTAACCTCTATACAAAGGATCTCCAACTGACACTTGGTCTCTTGGTATTAAAACATCTGCAAGTTCTGTTGCCCAAAATTCATTTAATACTGTAAAAAGTCCTCCAGTATTCTGAGCTTCATCAGGAGCTGTGAAAAAAATCTTTATTAGTTACAAAAAACTAATACATCTACTTGTAATAAGGACACACTAGTGCAGTCAATATGTTATTGACAACTAAAACCAAAATATATGTAACAACTGACTTGATTTACCAAAACAAAAATCAATAAAAAACTCCCTTACTATTTCTTCTCTCCAACAAAGATTCTGTTTCATGATAAGATGACAAAGGTCTCTCTTGTATCCAAGTGTATTTTGTATCTGCACCAAATAAAGAGAGAATGAAATGAAACCCTTTACATAATTATGAATCAACTGACATAATTTACCAGAAGGTACAGTTTCCGAACAGACCCAAACACACCCATGTGAAAAAAACAAACAAACAAACAAACATACTAGACAAGCTTCCATGTTTCCACTGTCGTTCATGTCGTCGATGTTTATGTCTTACTCCGTGTCTGCCATCTCTACTGCTGTACCTTCCCTCTGATTGCTTTTGAATACACATATCACTACTTTCCTCGGGAATAATCAGATCAGTTGTTGAGGAGTCACTGCCACTTGTGTTAGCACGGCCACGCCCTCCTCCTCCTCCTCCTGGAGGTTGATAATTAGGCCTTGGTGGGCTGTAAAACAGTCCTGGCTTTGAAGAATCCACTGTTTCATCAACTTCTTCTTCTTGTTGCTCTTCTTTTTTGTAAATCTTGGATGAACTGGTTTTTTACAAAAGAGAATTTTGTCAGGTATCAAAGGAAATATATTCAGTAAACATAAAAGAATAAGGGTACGCGATACAAAGACCTGAAGTTTCACTGCAAAAATGTTGTGTCATAGAAATTTTTACACTGATTCTTACATTTAAGTTAAAAAATCAATTTCACTCAACATCTTTAGTAGAAAATCTCCCACCACCTTAGATGACCTCAGAGCACAATTCTAAAACCTATTGTTGACTTACAAACACAATACATAACATGTTCTATTCATAAGAAAACTATCTTATCACTTGTCTGTGAATGAGCTCAGGAGATAGAAGTCAAAAACTGAAACCTTGATTGACAGGACTTGTTGGGACAAGATGAAATAGTCTGGATAATCGAGGGTCCGGATAATTGAAAAATATGAATATCAGTGAGAAACAAAAACTGATTAAATTAAGAAAGCGACATTTAATCGAAAGAAAATATCGCTCATGGTTCAAGGACACGATGATTGTGAATAACCATTCGTGATGCTGTGTAATAACTTGTTTATCTTGCATACCACACTGAAAGAGCCTATAGAGTGTGAAATCTCATGTAGCAACAAAGTAACTCTAAGCCAATCAGACCTCAATCAAATGTTCTTCATTAGTTATGACGCGTGTGAGCTCTGCTTTTGCTTTTTGAAAGCAAAACTTGCCTTCACTTTACTTTTCAACACTGTAGTTTTAAAAAGAAGAGGGCTACGGATCTTGATCATGACTAATAAAAATTCATGACAAAATTGGGACCAGGGAAAAAGTTTGAATGATCAAGAAATTCAGATAATTGAGGTCTGGATAATCAAGGTTTGACTATACTACTACTGAAAAAAAACAAAGAGGAAAAATTGCCAACCCTATTTTACAATAGCCAATGAATTCACAGTCAGCAGCTTTCAAAGATGCAAAACCATTGAAAGGACAGACTGCTAAGTAACAAACCTGCTGCTGCTGCGATACATTTCCACATCATCTTCAAACTCTATCTTCAACTTCCTCTGTCTCATACAATAACGAAACAGTAACACCAGCCCAACAACAGATATAATAACAGTCGTCAAGCCTGCACAGATTCCCACAACTTTACTGCGTGACCATGGCGAGGATGTAACTTGTTCGATGAAATTGTCATTTCCATCTGTAGAGAATTTCATGTAAACATTTGGTGTTGGATCAACTAATAATCCAAGTTGACATTTTTCTGTAATCTCATCATTTGTCTGCTTGGTATCATATTTATATTGGAAAGAGAAATGATGTCTTGGCCACTCATGGGGGTGAAGGGTAAAGTGTCAAAAATGATAATTGATCTACAAAAATAAATCTTGAAGCTTCTGTCCAGGCAAGCTAAGAATTGTTTCATCAAAGTGAATAGCAAGAAGGCAAAAACAACAATGATAATGATGACTGAGTAATTTTCAGTTAGGCTCTGTTTGAATGTCTCATAGGACACTGATCTGAACAAACAAGGAATTTGAGAAAAAAAAAAACCCTGCAGGAAAGCAAAATGATAATGTCTTATACAATGTCAATTACCTGTTTTTTCACATCGTCTTCTCACTGTGAGCATAAAACTTTTGATCTCCTCCGTATCCACTGAGCCTGAAACAATTCTGGTGTAGTTCAAGGAAAATGTCATATCAACTTCTCCCTCAGTAGTACCAGGACAGTAGAAGGAAACCTGAAAGGCTGTGAGACAAAACAACATGACAAATCAGTACATTTTATTCAGGAAAGTACAATTCTGAAAAAAAATTAAAAAAAAAAAAAAAAAAAAAAAAAAAAAAACATTCACCCACTCCACCCTAGGATGCCAATTAATAATTAAGAAAATATGACTTCATTGTGTGAAGAATTTGTAAGAAGCAACAGGTCCCTTCAGAAAGTTTTTGCCTTTCCCTTTGACAAGAATCGCATTCTGGAAGCCAGAGCGCTTTCAATGCACCTGCTTGCGAGATAGAAAGAAGTATCTTCAGAAAGATACTTTGAAAAACTTAGTTGTAATTCAGTTTTAGCAAGGATCTTCCTTGTTTGTAGTGTATATACTTATAAACTGTACCTTGTACAGGACATTTAGTCCATTGATAATCATTTTCCTTATCAACTATACTTTCCCCCTCTCCCATGTTTCAAACTATTTCTTGGAGAGTACTTATCAAGGTAACTTAAAATGCTAACAAAACATGTTAAGATGCACTCTCACTGCATGTATTGTACTAACTTCTTCTGCTAACAAACAAACAAACATATGGATCACTTTAAAATTCAGTGTTTGTATAAAACACTAAAATGTGAACCTGTAAAGACAGGTCATTCACACCTTTTTGAGATTGTGGAACAATTCCTTCCAAAGGAGTGGCTGCATGAGGATCAGGCATGATACTATGATCACTTGATTTGAAGTTCATGCTATAGTGTGAGACCTGTAAAAGAAGACATCATCAATTCTGTAACCACCACATATCCAAGATCTAGCAAGCTATCCTCTGCACAGTTTACCATACACATCTTATAATTTTGCTTCTGAGAAATTGTTGCTGAATCATACAGAATTTCCCAAAAGATATGTGGAGAAATTCCTCTTATGTAGCCTCTGAGAGTGAAAAAGTTAATTCTAAGGAAAGATCCACCTATGAAATAGCTCTGTGTACTCAGTTTAGTTATCAGGAGAACAAGAGAAAAGTGTGTTAATCACTTGCCTCCTGCTTGTGAGTAACAGACTTAAAGAGTATCTCTGCTATTTCATAATATCAGGTGAACATGGGAGGATGAAATTGTCACCAATGGTTCAAAACCTCTTATTTTCACCAATTCCAACCCACTATGCGAGCAGAACTTTATTAAAAAAACTGAAGAACAGAGTAGAATATTAAAGCTCTTTGGTTTTGAAAATTGCATTTGATACAATACCCAAAGTAGTTTTCCAGCTTATTTAGATATTTTGTTACAAACCAACAATCTCCTGCCAGTATGCTCACATGCAAATTTACAACATTTTAATTTTTTCAATCCTTTAACTCCCTGAGGTGATTAATAAAGAATTTCTCCCCATAATAATCATACATTATCCTGCAAACAGGTATTCAGAATACTCCAACGTGTCTAGTGGAAGTTTTTATTTTGATCTAACACTAAATTCTCATCACTGATTCAAGGAAATGTGTAGAAGATAGAGGGGAGAATTAACAATCAGATCTTAGGAGTTAAAGGGTTAAAGTGAATAAACTCCTAAAAAATCAAGTGTTATCTCTTCTTTTGAAATAATTAATTTCAGCCAAGGCTTTTTGGACAAAGCCCTGAAACAATATCATCAGAGGACCTTTAAGTTATTGCAACACTACCTCTTTATGCTTGATTGTCAAAACTAAGACATGTTTGAAAATCAAACAATTCAGACTGAAATTTCCCAATAGAGTTATGTTGATTGTAGCTCTCGCACAGAATCTTAAATGGAAGCCACTGAATCTGTGGTTTCATGATTGATCAATTTCTCAAGTTATTTTGCTTTGGCAAAAAAAAAGGATATTTAAGTTGTGTAACTGACACCATAAACATTAAATTGTTTCTTGAGAGTCAAATATTCAACTTGTAGCATAATAGGAAATGCCATTATGGATGAAATGATTATAACGGACGCCAACTTTATTGCAAACCAAGTGGTTAGACTAAATGACTACTCGTTATTGTTTTGTTTTCCTCTGCTTGGCAAGGTGCCTTCATCACATCTTAAATCGTACCCTACCGTGTCTTAACAAGCTTTTGGCTTATCAAGTTGATATTGTTCAGCTGTTTCCTCCGCAATCTTGAATTATCCATGATAAAAACAAGCTTTTACGTGCCTTTTAGAGGCCACAACAGGAAACGCTCGAGCCCAACGGAACTACACTAAAATCCAATTCTGAAAGCTCGCAGTTCAAGGAGTAGGAAATGATATTGTGGCAAGATCACGTTTGAATGATTTAACGGGAGCAAATAATTAGAAAAACACTGGAAAACGGCCATTTTACAGACTTGCCTCTGCTAAATCTTCTTAAAGAAGAATAAACACAACCACATGCATTCCTAAAGTTCATTGCCAATTCTAAGCTTAGAATATTGGCGTAAAAAAATCAACGGCATTATCCCCCGAGTCATATTCTAGATTGCCTTTTCGACAGAAATTTTCCAGACATCAGCATACATCACATTTTTTGATAAAATGCTCCAAATGGCTTGTCCGATCGCTTACAATTTGAAAAACACCACATTACAATTCCATTCATTCAAGACAGAGAGCGATCAGTCCGGCTTAAATAAACAACGACAAATACTTAATGGTCCACGCTAAAACCGTCAACACGAAACCCTTAGATCGCCGATATCGTTAATACCTTTCATTTGATTCCTTCAAAGCTTAGAACAGGAAGATCTGAAGCATTCAGCACTCGAACCGAAGAAAGAATTGCCGATTTTCGATCGTTAATAATCATTGCTAAGCGAACAATAGGGGAAGAAAGAATGCATTCCGGCCATGCAAAACAAAATACCCCGATTCTTCGTGTTTATAATATTGGCGTTTTTGGCAAAGTTTTCTTCATCAGAACGACTCTTCAATGATGAAAATGTTTTCTGGAACATAATCATCTGATTTCTAAGACGAAAATAGTTCGCGGAACGTCACATGAATGAAGTAAGATGACAAAAAAATACACTACAAAATTAGCATTGCGTAAAGTGGAGTATTGTGCTACTAGGATGCTAAGAGAACCCTTTCATTCAAATGATCAGAAACGCACGGAAATCTTTCTTTCCTCCTCAATTTGAGGCACAAACTAAAATAAATAATAACTATGACTAAACACTAACCCGAAGTCGACAAATCATTCACAGAGACAGGCTGATGGACTTTGTTCGACTCCAGTGAGAATCAAAACACCCAACAATCGTATATATATCACTCCCGCTTATCACGTCGTACTCACCTGCGGAGATGAAAACCAGCTTAGCTGAATCGTTGAAACCGATGAATCTAACGGTGACATAAAACGATAAAATGCACCAGGATTCTGCACCATAGTGGTTGGTTCTCCATCGCGAATGAGGTACAATCTTCCCTGGAAGTTCATCTCTGAAATATAGAATAAGCCATCGCGAATGATTCTTCTCCCTCGATCCACATGGTTTGCGAACTATTTACAAACTTGCTACCTTTCTTGAAAGACGTATACTCACTTAGATGTGTGTTGGCATCCTCCTTTGTAATAAACAGATGCAACTGAGCTGTTGTTCGCTGTAGAATGGAGCAAAACACTAAAAGGACAACCAAGTACGACCACGTTGTAGATCGATGACCCACGAACCAGATTGTGTACATGTTTACGAGCGAAGAGGCCTCACAAGTTACGCATCCAGTGCACGTTTGAATCTCTTAAGTAACCTTTCCCCTAAATGTCGGATGATGTAGCATGTTCCGGGACTAATTTGAACATGTCTAGTTAAGTATTCTGGACCTTCCAATACCGTACCAAATTTCAAAACATGAATCCCGATGACGCACTACAGAAATTCTAGTTGGGTAAGTGTAGCTGCTCTCCTTGGTGGGGCAAGGTTTGACGTCATGATCCCGTGGCCCAATAACTCGCAGCTATCGATTGGAAATCGATCGCTGTACGTGCTCCGAAAACAAAAGAACCTGTCATCATTTGGCGCGTTTTGTGTTAATGAAACAACTGAGTCAACGAGTTTCCGGTAAAACGAGTTTGCACTTTAATCACGTGCGTGATAGCTTAGTCAGTAATATTACCTATGCGGTCATCGCCATTTTGAGCATCGGATAAAGATGGAAAAAGTGTACACTCCAAAAACACAGAACTACCCGTTCTCGAAAGGATGCTGTACTCTCTAAACTCAAGTGTTACGATTACAAAGATTTAACTACGGAAAAAGGATACTTCAACTATCTTCATGGAATACGTTTTGGATACTAATTTAAACGGGTCTGAGCTCCGAAACAAATAATAGTATTTTGATAACATATGACCGTGTTAACTTGCTAATACTCGTACTACCATTTCATTAACTTAATTCATTTAACATCACCATTCTAAACTTTAACGGGACAGAACTGCCCATAAAAAATAAAATAATAATGAAAAATAATAAACAACAACAGCAACAACAATAACAACAAGAGACGCGAGAAAAAAATTACGCAAGATGTGGTAACCCTTGGTTTACTTGAGGCTTTTAAGAATCTTTTTTTCAAGTGAGGCGGTGGACAAAGCCGTGTCTTTCCAGTAATTTTTTTTTCGACCCCTGGGAACGAAGTTACTGTCGTTGCTCTGTGGAATAAAAAAAGGAAAGCTGTTTGGATGCCTCTAAAGTGCCTGTCCTTGGAGCGCTTTGTGGACAGCAGACAGACTCTAAAATGATGGAGAATAAAAAATTATGAGAGGAAAGAGTTGAAATGACCCTCACTGCACTTTACATCAATAGACCCACTGTTTTCAGGAAACAGGAAATTGTACCCACTCAACAATGGACTAAGGAAGAGGGAAGTCATTCGACATTTCATACTATGTAACTCAATATAAAAATCTTGTTTCTCTCTTAAAGGGCAATCTTTTTTTGGAATCGGTTACAAAAATATTTTTGTAATGATGTGGGGTCAGTTTGTGGATCTCATCTGAGACGAGCCTGTTACGCAAGGCAGTGGCTTGATAAGTAACGGCGCTGCTAAATGATATCACGGGACAAGAAGCTGACGTGCGGAAATCTGACTCGTTGCAAAACGTTTGTCACCCAAAATTGACAAAATTTTCAGTGAGCGCAGTAACATTTGTCAATGCCACCTCCAGGCTTTTCGGAGCTTTTTCGGTCCCTTTTCATAATCAGTTTCAAACAGTTTAGCTTTTTAAGAACAGTTTTATCAGCTTCAAAATGTGAAATCTTCAATCGCTCGATACCTCCTGAGACTCCGGAAGGTTGAAACGAAGGAATAACACGGAGTTTCATCCCAGCAATTTACGTTGCAGCGCTGCTATTTATGGACCTCTGTGAAAGATGCCAAAATTCCCAGCCCTTTACATATATCAGAGTTGTTCGGATCTACGAAGAATTATCGTATACGTATTTTAGACCGTGACTTTTCTGATCAGGAAAAATGAAGCAACAAATCATTCTCGTTTTGCGCGTACAAATCAATCCATGTCTGGGACATGGAACCCATCTTCGCTCACGTAACTGAATTGCTCGCAGATTCAGAGAAATCTGAATAAAATAATCCATTGTGCCCTTAAAAAAAACAGGACTGGTCGGGAGAATTTTCCTTTTTATTTTAAGTATTATCAATTTGCTTCAGGGGTTTTCAATAATGGTGTCTGTCATGAGGGTTGGCCATGCCATGCCGATGCTCTTGGTGAAATAATGCGAGACTAGTACTTTTCCTACACGGGCGACTCTGATTAGACTGCGAAAGTCTTCAGAAGTGTTGACAAGCCTTGTCACTCTTATCTGAGCTCAGATTATTTTGTTTTCTTGTGGCTGTTGGGTTTTACTTTCTACGAAGCATTATATTTGGCTATCAAATCTATAGGGGTTCAGTGAAAAAAATATTTACCACACTCCGAGGCAGACAGTCTTCGTTCACAATTATAGACTAAAAAAGGAAAAAGAAAAAAATCCGACGATTCCGCGAGACACACCGATACGAAAATTGAAAACGCATAGAAGCCCTATCTGACGACAATTTTCGAGACCCTTGACCTTACAAGTTTTCTAACAGAGTCAGAGATCGGGAGAATTCGCCACGCCTAACTAATAAGTTATAGTTTGATGACACGTTTTAAAGTATAGCATTCTGAAAGTTTTAGATATAGACGGCGGGAGTGGAACTTGAGGACCAGATCAGCTTGCACAGCCAACGTTTTCATAGCCTGGGGAGCAGTACACGGGATATTGGATCAGTTTCCTTTCAGGTCGAACTCTCGCAAGATTATTGGGCGCAGTTTCTAATTTTTGGGCCCGCCTTCGCTGTATGCCTTCGCGCTTATCCGCTAAGTTCATGGTAAACAATTTTATTCAAGGTATATATTACTAGATTCGCCATTAAAATTAAAAATTAAATCGGGGAACGTTTCGTTTCAGGAATAATTACGCAACAACATACTGACCAGTAAGCTATAGCAGACGCACGCCATAAACGATGTATATTTTGCTTTGGGTAAGGCTTTTACCAGGCCTATCTTTTGTTCTCACAAAATTATATGCCTTTGGGTCACAAAACAGAGACAGTGAATAGGGGTGATTTTTATTGTTAAAGCCAGATGAAACAATGGCTCCTGGCCAATTAGCCAGATGCATCGCTCAGAAACCAGGCACATAGCCAAGTCAAGAGCTTATCTGAAACACCGTTCTGAGTAAACAAACACTACATACGGGAAACGGAAGCCTCAGGTAGATATAGTAGCTTAATGCATGAAGGAAAATTTGGAATAACATGTGTCAATTTCAATTCCGGAGCAACAAGAACTTGCTTAGACTCGCGGCAAGTAGGAACTTGTTTAAGGCTTAATACTGAACACGCCAAACATATGGAAAAAAAGAGTTGCAAAAAAGAGGTTGTAAGCAGGGTCTTTTTTCACCTGAAGGAGAACGTCCTCTTGTATGGATCGATGATGTGATAAAACTGCGGGATCAGTGGTTTGGATCACTATTTGCCCAGGGTGGGGTGGGTACTCCTTAGAGTTCTTCTTTGGAAGACGCCGCTCAGTTCTTCAAATCCTGACTCTGTACACCTTTTTCGGATCCGTACCAGGTTTCAGTCGTAGCCTCTAAACTTTAAACAAATATTTACGCTTTGTTTTAGCTCGAATCATGCTTTCTGGTTACTTTCTTGTTCTCAATTATTTATTTGAAGTTGAAAACTGAGACAACCATCTCGATGCACTTTTCTGGTTCGGACACGACATCTACGAAAAAAGACCTATTAGTGAATATTAGACAACAATGAAAGAAGTCACTGAAATAGCTAACTTTTAATCTAATCGAATGGTTTGGTCAAGTGAATCTGAAAAAGCCAAAAAAAGAGAAAAACTCATGGCTAACAATATCACAGCTTGAGGGGCAACACTTTAATATTTTGCGTGAGATTTTATATACCTGTTCCACGTGGCTAACAAGTCAAGACAGGTATTAGACGCGTGCACAACACATCACATACCAGTAAAAAGAAGAAAAAGTCGTCAATATTGTTTTTGATACAATGGATGTTTTGTACATGAGAGTTACAGTCGGCCGTTTAGTCAGTGTAGTTACTAACCTGTTCCAGGTGCTCGCGTAGCAAAAAGAGCGTGAAATTAAGGAAACGATAGGCTACTAACGGAAAATCGAAAACGAGGAATGTTTGGGCCAATTCACAAATCTCACTCGTTTGCTCACTCCTCTGTTACTGTCGCAACGTTTACTATCACGCTTCGTTTTACTACAGTGGCGTAGCCAGAATTTTTCAAAGGAGGCGGGGGGGGGGGGGGGAATGGTCACGCTGTGTCAAAAAGAGGGTACTCCACCAGATTGTCATGTCAACCTCCACGCCGTGTTTTACTTGATGTGACAAATAAAGGCTTACAAAGAGGAGGTCACGAGCACCCTACGAACCCCCCTCCGCTAGCTATGCCCTTGTACTAACTGAACGCTTGAAACAGGCTTTGTTATCCCCTGGGTAAGAAATAATCGGCAAATAATTGTTATTGCTGATAGCTCTAACTTACCGAGCAGACGTCACAAACAAAGACAACTTCACTCTGATGCTCAGACTTCTCTACAGGTTGTCGGGGGGTGAGGCTAGTGCGGGGAGAAAATAATCTCATACCCAGATTCTACTGTGTAACTGTAACTTACAACTGCGTGGCTGTGAAAGGTCTGTGTATGAGATTAGGGAGAGAACTCGCGCAAGCGGTGGGCAGCTTGTTTAAATCGTTGGGTGACCTTAGGAGGTTACAATGGCAAACTCTCTTAAACAATTTCAGGACTGGATGGTGTTCTCGAGTAACGCGGAAAGTTTTTCGTCTGCTTTATCCAATGAACCATCTGAATTGTGGACGGAATGATCGCACAATTCCCCCCCTAAAACCCATTCCGATGGTTTTTTTTCTTTTGGTATACGCATCTTCAGCCATGCTCTGTGAGAATGATGGTGATGGTGGTGGGAGGGGGGGGGGGGGGGGGTGTCAATAGGATTTATTTACAAGTTTATTTATTTTTTATTCTGTTCAAAATTGTACGAACTTGAACAACTATACGCCTCCATAAACTTGTGTCCCCAGAACTGAACCTAAAAATTTTTATTAACTGGTCAAAAAAGGCATCCTACACCTTGTCAAAGAGAAGATTTCATGTCTACGTAATCAACCACACCCTTACTAATCAACTGTTGAATTTCTGTTCTTGTATAACCAATCTCTTGTAAAACCTCCATGGAATGTTCCCCAATCTTTGGCTGAGGCTTGCTCTCACAACAGCCTGGTGTTCTGGACAATTTGGGAGCAGGAGTAGGTTCATATGCTCCATCACTCCAAATAAACGTCTTTCTTTCTTCATTGTGTGGTTCATAAGGTGCCTCATCCATAGTGAGAACTGGTGTTACACAAGCATCAAGATTCTTGAATAATTTCCACCACTCAGACTGAGTCTTTGTTAGAAACACTTTGGTAATTTCCTCTTTAGCCTTTGGCCATTGATCTATATCAAATTGAGATGGAAGTTTTTCTTCCAACTGGAGCCCTAAAAAAATTTATCACCTTCAGTAAAATGCAAACCTTATACCCTTAAAATCCTTGGAGCGATTACCTTATTGGTAGTTTATTTTGCAGGTCTTTAATTTTGCATTCATCTGAATTGCTGGAAGAAATTAGATGCAATGCAATGGTATTTTGCGGGGTTTATATTCCCAATTTCAATAGGCAAAAATGAAAAAAAGGCATTAAATTTTGCAATTCAAGTGTTCTTAACTACATTTTTCTCCCAAAATGTTGTAACTTTTGATGACTGGCCAAAAGTAAGGAATTTGTATAAATCTAGCGATTCAGTCAAAGATTATAGCAAGACTCTCTTCAAACCTTTACAAATTAAGGTCAGATTCATAAAATAATGTGGCTAAATTGAAGATCTTTAGAATACCTTTTGCTCAAGAAAATGGCCACTGCTTGTTTAAATAGCCAATCATCTGATTCAGTGGTATTCAATGACCAATCACAGCATTTAAAAATGTTTTTTTTAAATTTAAATTTACAACTTAATGGTGCAAAGAACAAATTTTAATGACAAACCTTTAATAAGATTTTGATAAAACTTGGGCTCAATGGCTCCAACAGCCATGTATCTTCCATCAGATGTTTGATATGTATCATAAAAAGGTGCCCCAGAATCCAACAAGTTCCTGCCTCGCTCAGGATGCTGCCAGATGAATCCCACATCAAGACTCTTGTAAATAAAAGATCCTAGATATGCTGCACCATCAACCTTCAAAAAAAAGAAAAAAGTTAAAAAAAAAAACAGTTATAAACAAAAGAAATCTTTAAAAACTGACTTAATAAAATAAAAATTACTCCATGAGGGTGACATGTTAACCACATGTGTAAGTTGATGGGTTAACAGAAAACATCAAGCACAGCTCTTTCTTTCATATTATTTATATCAATAATAAAAATATAAACAACACTTTACCATAGAGGCATCAACAACTTGGCCTTCTCCAGATTGAGATCTCTCAAACAAAGCTAGCAAAATTCCAAAAGCACATGACAGTCCTCCACCTGCAAAATCTGCTAGAAGGTTGATGGGTGCAGTGGGTTTCTCATTCTTGCGTCCAAGCTTTGAAAGCAGCCCAGTTTGGGAAACATAGTTTATGTCATGACCAGCTCTCTTAGCATGACATCCTGTCTGGCCATAGCCTTTGAATTGTAAATAATTTTGCAATTCAGTTTTAAGCATGATGATTTTATTATTAATAACACCCTTAATATTAAGGAAAAAGGAATTTCAACTCCATGAACCATGAATGACAACATGGACCCATGTAATTACTCACCTCAGGAGTTGAGTGGTTAATACAGGTGAAATTAACTCAACCCCCTCTCTTTCGTGTGGGAAAAAAATCTAAATTCAGCATACACCACACAGGTGAATAATGCTGTCGACTTTTGGCTAATTTAGAATTACCTAGCCAAAGAGACATCAACAGTTAAATTTTAATTTGGTATGTACTGAAATAATTATTCATCTCAGTGTTGGTGAAAGTGGTAAATTTTTACCTCACCACTTTGCAACTGGGTAAATATTGTCCCCTATTCACCTCCACATTGGTGAGTAAGTGGACATAATAAAAATGACTTTTCAGAGCACCTCTATGAACAAACAAGTGTCTCTTGTTTTATAACAACAGCAAAATGCTCTCTCAACTTGAGTCAACTTTTGTAAGTTGACTATCATTGCATCATATACAAGGCTTGCAAATTGGGGAAAATAACTTAACAAATATCACCTCATATTACCTACTGTCTACTTTTTGATGAGTTGAATGTTTACAATCCACAGTGTTGATGTCACTTCACCAGCAGTGAATAAAAATTAAATATAGGTAAAAATCTAAACACTTGCTGTTTAAAGGACACACATCATGAATTTCATTTTGCTGTTGGGGGTTTTTTGTTTTGTTTTTGTTTTTGCAATTTTTGTTATTCCAATTACAGATTGTTGCTGTTGTTAATTACCGCAACTAACACTTAGACTCTACTTTATAGAGACTACCTGTTAATCGAGCGTAAATTAATCTTGGATTATCTTTCAACAGTATCTCTGGTCCTAATCCCAATCTCTCCATAACTCCAGGTCTAAAAGGCTCGATCAAAACATCGGATTTCAAGCACAGCTTACGCACGATGGCCATCCCCTCAGGAGTCTGTAAGTCTACAGATATGGACCTCTTTCCCCGAGCAAGTCTATCGGTAGTGGACATAGTTCTTACTTTGTCTATTCGCGTGACCAACGCGCCGAAATCAGCTAGAATCATCCCGCAAAACGGTGCAGGAGCAAGTCCTGCGAGTTCAACCACTCGAATACCAGCCAAAGCCGCCATCTTGATAACTAATCCGCTGGCTATTGGACTGCTGGCGAATTCCTGCCCACTTGACGGGGGAGGGAGGGGTGTCGTGAGATTTTGATTGTGTCGTGATAAAATTTTCCTGATCCACCTATAAGACTCTGTAGTTTTCCAATGATCTCTCCTAATTGGCTGACACTTTTCCCTAATCCCATCTTTGAACTCTTTCGGAGACGACTGATCCTCGCTCAGTTCCCTTTGAAAAGCATGTGATCCCCAACATTCGCCTACAACCCCCATGTTGGCGATAAATCAGTACCGGTTCCTTGTAACAATTTTTTCCGTTTTTTTTGTAAATTATTTTCGTCTCGCAAGTGGGAATATAATGATTATGCAAAAATATAATAAATACAGGGGATTCTTTTTAACGGTTGCTCAAAGAAAATGTCGCATGGTTATCGATTAGAACGCGTGCTTTTTCATTCCCAATCAAACATTCGTCAGGTCAGAAAGAGGTCGGATATTTTTTTGCCATAAAGATGTTAACTCCCACCCGGGAGTCGAAAGCGATTTTGAGATCTACCTCGGCTTCGTTGAAGACTTTCGTTTTCTGTATTTTATAAAATTTGCACAGATAAATTCCGATTTTCACCGAAGCTCGGTGATAAAGTATTTCTTAGACTGTAATCGAATACTGCTTCATGCTTCAACCCCGACTCTGACTCTCGATGGGGAGGATCGAGGGCGGGAATAAACCAGCTGTCGGCCGCAGTCGAGAACTCGGGTGGATTTGGCATTATTCAGACTGAGGTAATTAGGAGGGACTTGAAAATATCTATTCAAGATCAGGAAATAGGATTTATACCCCCCAGTAACCCCCCTTTGAAGATTTTCAATTTTAATATGATTTCATTGACGATGTAATGCCAGATTTAGAGGGGAGCGATTCAAGTCTATTCCCAGAATAGAGAACATTGCATGACAAAGAAAAAAATTAATTATAAGATGAAAAAAAAGGAGAAAAAAAATGAAACGAAGTACCAGTACACTAATAAGAGTAGCTCTAATGAAATCACAAGCAGAGAGCCTTCGATCGCAATATAAAATATTTTTAAAAAGGCGAGGAAATTTATGTTCTTGATGTAACAACTTTCAGTGGAGCCAGTTCTGCAATTAAACTTTTGACAGTTTGTATGAGAGCGATAAGACAGTCATATCAAAGTTGTGAGCCTGTCGATCCCTTGAAGTGAACACAAGCATCAGAGCATATGAAAGAATGTTTTGATTATTCACACTTGAGTGCAAAGCGTTTAATCCCCTTGATCAAGAGCTTTTCAAAATGACTGTCTTTGTTTGTTTAGGCTAAATTGGGGTTGAAATCTAGGAACATTTTTGACATGACAAAATCACTACCCTTGGGCAAGATCTCGCAAAGACGGAGAGTGCAAGTTATAGAGGGCTTTCCTGGTGCTATATTTTTTTAAGGTCATTTAGATGTAAAGATAGATGAATGATCGCCTTCTGGAAATAAATTTTGACATGAGCAGTTAGTTTCGGTTTGCCATGTATTTCACACTACATCGACCAAAAAGTGTTAATAGATAGAAAGAACAAAGTCATTTTGGCTGCTGGAAAGTTCAGTTTGACTTGTTGTTCCAAGAGTAGCTTTAATTACTGGCTTGTTGTCGTCGTTTCTTTTTATTTCTTTTCCGATCAGCAGAAGACGGTGCGAATTTATCGAAGCGTGGAAAAGCTTACTTCTTGTCGGTTCTTTTGTTATGGTTGCCGGTGAAACTAGGCGATTAGCCAATGAGAGTCCTCGAAATGATTTATTTATGTCTCAATGGGCTTGAACTGGAGTCAACAATTTAAACAAGAAAAAGCGCAGTTTACAGGACGCTCTCGTGGCCGGAAAGATGGGAGAAATCAAAGTGCAAGAAAGATAAGCGTCCAAATATTTCGTTCCCTCGGAGACGGAAAGCTGGAGCAAATATTCGAGAATTTTGCACGTGAATGGTGACGTAAGGATATAGCAAACATGGCTGGCACTGAGAGAGCGAACTTCTTGAAACCTTTACTGTTCACTAAAATGTTCAGTCCCTGGTCCTTTATACCTTCGTAAAGTTCGAAGACTGCTAAAATATTTATCTATTTTCTAAAGTCTAGAAGGACTTTTGTCTTTGTAAGCCATGAAATCTAGACATATGAGTATCAGAGGAGTTGTTACGATGTTTGGCGGGTTGATTTTTGGCTTCACTGTGGCATTGTTCCTCCGGCAGAATCTTCTGCCCGTCCAGTCACGGCGTTGCCATATGAACTTTATCAGAGACGTACGGCCGAGCACATTGTCTAAAGAGCTTAACTCCAAACATTTAATCTTTATTGGAGTTATGACGGCTGAGATGTTTCTCGATTCGCGAGCGAAGGCAGTTCATGATACGTGGGGACGAAACGTCCCGGGTAAGTTAGAGTTCTTCTCAAGCGGCACGTCCCAGACTAAGATGGAATTACCCGTTGTGAGTTTACCCGGCGTGGACGATTCATACCCTCCTCAGAGAAAGTCCATGATGATGTTGAAGTACATGCATGACAACTATATCGACCAGTTTGAGTGGTTTATGCGTTCGGATGATGATGTTTACATTAGGACCGAGAAACTTGCAAGCTTTCTTCAGTCCCTAAATAGTTCTCAGGACATTTATCTTGGCCAAGCTGGAACAGGATCTAAAGACGAAAAAGGCTTGCTGGGTTTGGGCTCTGGAGACAATTTTTGTATGGGTGGTCCAGGAGTCATTATAAGCAGAAGCGTTTTGAAGAAGGTTGTACCTCATATCGAATATTGTTTGAAACATTTGCTCACATCGCATGAAGATGTGGAGGTTGGGCGATGTATTAAACGTTTTGTGGGGATTCCATGCACTTGGTCTTTTGAGGTAAGTTTTCTGTTCTTTATTTATTATTGCTATATTAAAGTTGCGTCGATAGAGTGGAATGAACTCGCGTTATTAAGTATGCGGCGGAATTAATTTTAACATACTCACTGTTGAGGTCATGATCAAGAGATAAGCGGACGGCGGGGTGAACGGCGCAAGATGGGGAGGGGAGGGGGTGTCTGAGTGCGAGGCGGTAGCTTAGTCAAATTGGGGGTCGAAAAAGACGGGGGCAAAAGTTATTTTCCGTGTTTTTCTTTTGTGTAGGTATCAAACAGAACATTTTTTATGTGATTTATCATGTCACAGTTAAACATGTCTGATGCAGGAAGTTCAAGCTCCTGTGTTCCTTATTTGCTTTTGATTAACACCTTCCCTCTGCTCACATTTAGACTTAATTTCTCTTCTTTGAATTGCTCTGGTGTCTATAGAGATGTTCATAATAAAAATAGTCACAGAATACATTTACAAAAAATTATTTCCATGATTACCTCAAACATTCAACACAATTATTATGATCAGGCTCTAATTTAAAATGATGTAGTCTGTGTCATTTTAAATTGTTACTCTGACATTTCTGTGAGTGAGAAATACAGTATATCTTTCTTTATCAAGAATTTAAACTCTTACTATGAATTTTCTTTTCTTATAAATTATAATTCAAAACAGATACTCTTGAATTGTGAGAGGGCATATCTATAGTGCTTTGGAATTCTTGTTTACTTTCAATAGCACACTGAAAACTAGACTGAGAAGTTCAGGTTTTAGAATTGACCAGGGCAGTTATGTTGAGTTCTTAATCAAGAATTTAAACTCACACCATGAATTCTCTTCTCTTATGAATAATAATTCAAAACAGATACTCTTGAATTATTAGAGCACTTATTTTCCCCCCCCCCCCGCACCACTAAAGACAATCTGTTGGGGTTTATGCCATTCTGCAATATCAATGCTTCAGTTTATCCATCCTAAATTTAATTTGACTATCATGAAATACAGCAAATACCAAGTATACTGAAATCAGGGTATACACTGCTTGAACAGCAACTATTTTTGTGCTTCAGTTTCTCGTAAGTTACTCCAAAAAGTTGGTTTTCTTTACTGGTAAACTTAAATTGTTGAAGATATTGTAAAGTACTGTTTATATAGGCCTTTTGAATATTTGTGCTTGTGGTGTATGTGAATTGCTGTAGATAAAAAAGAAGATTACCTTGACCTTTGTAGTTTCTGTGATAATACATGCAGTTGGTCTAAAAGGTCTTAATTTTTTAAAAAAATTATATTTAATTGAATGCATGATTTGAGCCCTGAATTACCTCTAAGTTGTATCAAATTTAGAATTATCAACGGTTTTTGTCTTGGCTTGGCTCTTCCCATCTTCAAAGCTGAGAATTGAAATTCTATTGAAAAATTACATAACCCTTCTTAAAAACCTAAACAATATCAGTGTTAACCAGTGTTGATTAACATATGCAAGAAAAATTTAGGGCTAATATTTTTCTTTCTTTTGTGTGGGGGGAAGGGGAAAGAAAGCTTTGTTGTTTACTTTAAAATTCTTAGTTAAATTTCATGTTTTTCCAGCTGCTCTGCTGTTTCCCTCTCAAATTGATTATTTACTCAAAGATGTACAAATAGCACTTTAGTTGATTGAATATTCAGACATTTATTTCAAGGAAGGCCCTATTGTTTGTTGGATAAATAGCTTTTCTAATTTTTCACAGTTTATTTTAGCTTCACAATGGTATAGCACAAATTCCAGATCATCACCAACAATTTATTTTTTTCATTTGCTTGTTTTCCCATGGCAACACTTTCAACTCTTAATTTAGGAGTTTTGGAACTTGCATATTTCTTTTATCAGGTTGTAAATGGTAGAAGAAAATTATTCTCCAGGAATGGTTTTCGAAAAAGCTTAATTATATGTTCAGGGCCACCTAAAAAAAAGGGGTTTAGATTAATATTTTAAATTTATTGAGCATTATTTTAGGCTGTAGGGACACAAAAGATAGTAAATTATTTTTTTCAATCATATTTTTGCCCCAACCTTTGAGGATGGCTCATGGCAAATATGTAACAAGTTTGCTCCAGTTTTGTTTTTGTTTTTTTTTAAATTGCATTTTCCTTTAGTTCAATACCTTGAATTCAGAGTGCTTTCTTTACTCAGACTATTACAGCTAATGACGTTTTCATTGCCAAAACAAAGTAATATTGAAACTTTCACCATGAATTTTTGAAATGATGCAAATTGTTTTATTGTATTGGCTGCAAGATAAAGTAAGAGCTTCAAACCATGTGATGTACACCAAAAGACCAAAGTTTGAACGGATTAAGAAACAATAGTGAACAACATCATAATTTATGTTACAGGGTAAGCTAATGTGCTGAGTAATTGGGATTCCATTCTCAAACCATTTTCTCCTCAGCTCTGCAATGGTCCTCTGAAATTTTTTAATGAATCTAAATTCTGTTTTTGAAAAGCATTGGGTAAGTCAAGTTTTAATGAACTTTCCAACAACTAAATCTCAAGCACAGTTATTTTTAAGTAAGACGGTGGCAAGATACACTAAGCAAATTAACCAAGCTCAATAAAAATACGAACTTAAACAGCTTTACTGAAAAAAGTTGAAGTACTATCTATTGTAATGGTCTGTAATGTTTCCCGAACGTTCCCTTGGTGACAACTTTATGTTAATTCATCGACCTTTGTACCGCCAGTCAATATAGTTTTGTGCGTAACACGCTTCAGCATAACTTATACCCCATTCACACCAGCAAAACATGTTTTGTTAAACTGGTTTTCATTGAATGAAAATTATAAACAGAGAACTGAAAAACTTGATTTTCCATTGGATTCAAGTACTAGCTAACTTGTATTTCCAATGTGCTACATTCAAGTCAAAAATATTCGGTTAAATAGTTTCTATGAAGAAAAAAAAAATTAAACTGTGTTTAACAAAACAACCTTTAAACATGTTTAAGCTTTGGTGTGAATGGGGCGTTAGTTTCCTCTAGTCTTGCTAGGAAATAGTTCTTACGAAAGTTTGTAAACCCGCTTCCATCCCAATTCTGAAATGCCAAAACAGTTGTAAAGGTCCCTTTTGTAGTTCTTATTTCTTATTTGGAAACTTCACAATGTGACGGTCTCGGTTAGTGTTGAAGTTACAACTCGAATACAAAAATAGCATACGCGTGTATGCATGAGCTCTCGCAAGTAACTTCGTCCCAGATTTCTGGTGAAAGGATCTTGTTTCAACAAAATCATTTGGAAATCCTCTAATTATTAAGACTGTTGTGTCCCCTTTCCGCTCATGGACCATGGACCCTTTCTGCTCGCTTTAACAACGATATTTTTACAGATTGAAGGACATTAGTTTAATGAGTTCATGTTTTGTGTTCACTTATTGTAATCCACCTATGAATATCACCCCATCAGGAACTTACTTTTAATTGCATCTTTTTGTCTTTATCTTTTGTGGCCTCATCCAGTATTGTTCTTGATTCAGTCTTTCACTAGCCTCGATGTTGAAAACGGTTTCTTGCTGAACATTTACTATACAACGCCAAACATTGTTCGATTATAAATTTGTAGCAAACTGCATTGAAGCATAATTTTTAGCTATGCATGAGAGACCATGGGTCTATCTGCCCTTATCAGGGATAATAAGCACAAAAGTTCGAAGAACATTTTATTAATCAATTTTTGTTTACGTGTCCTCTTGTAACGGGCGTTTCCCAAAAGAGATGTTCACTTGTGTTCTGAAAGCGTTGAATTGAGATAAAATTGTGCAATTTTTCTGTTTTGATTCAAGTTTGACCTTTTTTTTTCAGATGCAAGCCCTGTTCTACCACAACCAAAGCAAGTCGCAGGCATTTCATGGTAACCTGGACACAAAGTCGGTACGTAAGGCCATCACCCTTCACCCGGTAAAACAACCGTCGTACATGTACCGTTTGCAAGCACATTTCATGTCCATGCGCATTCAAGACCTTCAGTACCAAGCAACTAAGCTGCAAAGAGTCCTCAAGAACATGGATTTACTGCTGAACTCTACGATCAGTTCGCTGTCAACGGAAGAAAAAACCAGCCTCCATGGCGCGCGAGATTTTCATCACCAGCTTAGTTCAAGATACCATGAGCCTTGGGACATGTTCACGGCGCAAAAATTCTACTCCCTAGCCACGCTTCAGCCGCCTGAAACAGGCATGCGCGACCCGTGGAAAGACGGACTTAATCACGTGCTTGGGCAGACGATGGGATTAATCAATGAGGAGGCAAAGCGAGTTCTTCATCGCAGCCTTGAATTTAAAAAAATGAATCACGGGTACATGCGAGTACATCCGCTGTACGGTGCACAGTACCTCATGGACATGCTCATGAAGTATCATCGGCACATTGGACACAACCGGAGGCGCATGACTGTACACGTGCGTCACCACGCCTTTCTACAATTGCCATTTGGCAACATGGTCTACAGGGCCGAGCCCCTTCTAAAAGAGGTCCCCTCGGTGCATTTTATCCTCCCCCTAACCGGTCGCATTGGAACGTTCCGCCGTTTTATGAAGAATTTCGAGGACGTCTGCCTGAAAAGACGAGAGAACGCGAAACTTCTGGTGGTATATTTTCCTTCCGTGACTCCTGCGCATGAGCACAAAACTGTAATGAAAGACTACCAAACGAGGTATCCTGAGGCAGATCTATTGTGGCTGGAAGCAATAGGAGATTTTTCACGCGGCCTTGCTCTTTCTCTTGGGGCGAACCAGTTTGACAAAAGTGCTTTGTTGTTCTTCTGCGACGTCGATTTGGTTTTTAATGCCGAGTTTCTGTATCGCGCTCGTATGAACACGATACTTGGTCAACAAGTGTATTATCCTATGGTGTTTAGTCAGTTTGATTCCGAGATCACATATCCCAATCATACAGTTCCCAAAGACCAGTTCACAGTGAGCAAGGACGCTGGATTCTGGCGAGCTTATGCGTTCGGCATAGTCGCTGTTTACAACCACGATTTACGAGTTGTTGGGGGTTTTGACACAACAATTCAGGGGTGGGGGCTGGAAGATGTGGATTTGTACGAGAAGTTTGTTAGGCATCAAGACATTAGCGTGTTCCGTGCGGCGGATCCTGGCTTGGTTCACGTATACCATCCGGTCATCTGTGATCCTAAGCTTGTAGATCGACAATATGCTATGTGCCAGGGCTCGAAAGCGTCCGGTTTTGGCTCAGAAAAGTCGTTAGTCCGTCATATGTTGTCAAAAGCTTTCATAAATAGGTAAAGTTACAAAACAGTAGAGAGCAATTTTAAATTTAATTTCGAAACTATTCTGGATCAGATTGGTTTCGCTGTACTTCGCTCAGTGATTCGTGAAGGAATTTGCGTCTCCTTTCCGACCAATTAAATTAAAAAGTAAATTAATTGCAACTCGGTAATTTGCGTCTTCCCGCGCTACAGTCTCTCTGCCTTTTTTTTGGTTGAGGTCTCATTCACTTCTGGTGATATTTCCTATTGTTCGATTGGCCGCTATTATTATTATTATTATCATCATCATCATCATCATCATCTTTATAATTATCATTGTTAATACAGATTATTATTTATTCGTCTCATTCTTTTTTTTGTGGGGGGGGAGGGGGTTGCCCCGCCCTTGTTTAGTCCATGGATTGGTCCACACCAGGGAACCTCAGCGGTTGAGGCCCAAGGACCATAATCGGTTATGTCTTGGGGATCAACATCGGTTTCGCTCAAGAACCAAAATTGGTTTGGGTTTTGGGACCATAATCAGTTTGGCTGGGGGACCAAAATTGGTTATTACAGGGGACCAAAAATGGTTATGATTAAGGGCGAACCGTGTCGAGCTTCTCCAAAGCAGGTCAGGTTTATGCTGTACATGAATTCCTTTCTTAATTAATAGGAATGTCTTGCTCGGCATTTTAATTTAGCTCGAATTCTATTTGAAACTTTATTTGTGAAGTTGTTTATTCCTTGTTAAATGGGGAGAAATTTGAGAGAATAACGAAACTTCGCTCTTTTACCGCAAGTTTTGACCAATTTTTTAGTATTTAATTATTACAGGCGAAGGGCGTTAGAGAGTGGCATGGTAATCGCAATTGGGAAATTTTTCTTTATCGCTGTGTTGTTAAACGTTTTGTTTAAAGTTGGTTGATATTTTGTCATATTTGTTATTTAGGGCGTATTTTAGCTATTTATAACACAAGATATTAAAATAAAAATAGATATTTAGTCGAGAGTCCTGTTATTTATTATTTCTAATATTGTTTGCTATGTTCTTTTGTAAGCAAAAGGGTTGAGACAAAAAATTATTTTCAAGAGTGTTATACAAAATTATCCTTCCCCCATCTTTCTAGTCTTTTTCCTTCCACCACGTATACAAAGAACTGTGAATAAAAGCCCTATCTGTTAGGATTGAATTCAATTAAGACTAATTACGAGCGTTCACAGGGAGTTGAACTCAGGACTAATAATAAACGGGTACTTTTGGTGGTCCGAATAGCACTTGCCCCCAGGACCTCCCGATTATGATCCGACTCGCTAGACGCTTGATCATGCTGCGGATCCACTAACGAAGGCTTCCGGTGGCGGAAGATAGACATCTCAAGAGGCCAAACAACACAATTGTGTACCTTTGCTAAGATTCATGGCTGTGGAAACCATGATCCCCTTCTCCGATCAGTGTCACACACTGGGTTGGGTTCATTTTTAGGGGTTATCGGATGATTACACCTTAACAAAATGAAAGAAGGGGAAACTCAAATGTCAGTCCCCTTTTGTACCTATAATCGTCTCTGGAAGAGAAAGTTCTGGTCACATACAGAGGGAATTTTTTTATTATTGAGAAAGATGATAGGTAGAAAAAAAAATTAAAAAAATCCTGTGGGGGAGACTTTTTTTTTTTTTTAGAATGTTTCAAATTTACATTGCGGAAATTTGAAACATAGTGAGATCTTGTAACTCTACAAAAAAGAGCCTTGCTCGTCACATCGTTTGCTGACAGAAACTACCATGCTGTTCCTCTCTTTATTGACGCTATCGTTTGACAGATAAACTTTCTAAATTATGGAACTGGAAAATAATTATCCATTTCCATGTATCATGGAAGTGGCTGATCACCGTTTTTCACCAAAGTATCGCACATTCATTTGCATAACACGCGATCTTCCCTCCAAAAATTTCCGAACTGAAAAATTTAAAAATGCTTTTTCTGACACTGAATTAAATTTAGTTTAGGCAGTTGGAGCTGTGGGAATGAGTTACCAGCCTGCATAAGAGATCTACCTAGAAAATATTTTCGAATAAAACTCCATGATATTTTTGGCATCCTGACAAACGAACACAATTACTTAAAAACTGGAACAATTGTAAAAAGGTAAATTAATGTAAATAGTAGTGTGATATTCGACTTTTAATCGATAATTTCATTTTCGACCTTATTCGTGATAGTGAAATATGTTAAATTGTAAACACTTCCCACCACTAAATTAAATTTAGTTTAGGCTGTTGGCCTAGATATCAGTAACGCACCTTAAACTAGCTAAGGCTATTTGCGAGTCGGTCAAAGTAATCTTGATACTATGATAATCGAAGAAAGGTGAATGTGTGAGGGTTAAAGCAGCTTGACCGAAAGGAGGTAATGCAATCTAGCGGCGTGCTTGAGTACGTTTCGCTTTCTCGTTTCCTCTATTCCTTCCCGCTTTGTGTTTTTCATCCATTCTTTCGTTTGTAAAAATTCACGCGTAAAACTTCTGTTCTAGCAATTACTGTTGTGATGCCTCAAATATTTTAGTTCTGCTGGATTGTTTAATCTAATTGTTTACGAAAAAGAAAAAAAAAAGCTCAGTTAACTGCGCAGATGTAGTTTTGTCACTGCGTTATTGCGTGACTAAAGAGATACGATTCACCATCCATGTGGACCAGCCTTTCAGACTCAAAGATCATAGGGTCGGACTTTGATTTTCCTTTATATTAATTCCCTTGAAAATCTACTATGAAGCGTTATTATTACGGCCTGATAGATACTCTTCTGGTTCTTGTCACAAGCTGTGTTCCTTTAGTCATCCTCGAAGCAGCAAGCTTTTGTGGTAAGGAGAAGGCTTCTGCCTTGATTCAGTGGATTGTCTCGAATGCCTTCTCCGCCGTCATCACGAAGAAGACTGATAGCGGACTTACAAGATGGTATTTGAAGGATATTGAACTGACCCGCTCAGAACAGCTGACGAGGAAAGTTTTTTCCAGCCTTTTTGGGCTGTTCTTTACAATGTTTACCCTTGCTTCAAGTGTGTTTTGGGAAAACTTACTTCTCGACGTGAGCTACGGTTGCAAACCGGATGATGCTTCCGTGTCTATGGAATGCTTCGAATACAACATCAAGGAAAACGTGGAGTTCTGGAGCGCATTTGCAAGGCTTGGAGAAGATCCGATCGATTGTAGCAGTCCTAAGTATCTTAATGGATCTGTGGGTGTGATTTGCTACCAAATGGTCTTCAATATTGGCGTTGCTTCCGGGGCAAGTTACGGTGTATTCAAACTGGCTATGATTGCAGTCAGTGCAGCTACCAGCGCCATGTTGCTGCATAAACGATCGAAAAATGTAAACAGAACGAGGATCATTGTTGCTGTGTTAATCGTTACACTGTACGCGGCTTTCGTAGTTTCGCAAGTTGTCGAAACGGAGAAGGGACCATCTAGTTTAGTCGTCATGATCGATTCACACAATGTGGCGATCTATCTTCAAGTGCTTATGGGATTGGGTGCTGTCTTGTCATTCGTGTATTTTGTTCCTTGGAAGCAACTCGTTGCTTTTCAAAGTAATTTGTACCTGTATGATCCCATACTTTGACCTTCTTATCGCAATTTTCCATTCACTAATAAATCAGAGCTAATATTGTTTACAAAATTGTATGATTTAACAGGGTCGGCCAGGGGGGGTAGTGGAATACCAATATATATACCCCAAATTCCTCCAAATATACCCAAAAATAAGCGTTGAATACTTTATACCTGAAATTCAAAGAAAGTGATATACTGAATACCCATATTTAAGCTGCAATATACCGTATACCCGATTTAAAACGCCCCTGAATACCGAATACCCAAAAACCCTGGCCGACCCTGATTTAAGGGTTGTAAGCTCACTGATAAGGTGTAGATGGTGAAGAGCTTGGTCACAGGAGAGCTTGTTTGAAGAGTGACCAGTCATTTAACTGACATGTTAACTGGCTGACAGCCAACTCACCAACACTACGGTCCACTTGCCAACAACTTTGCCAGAAAATTACACCTACTCTATACCAAATGGTAATTAAAATTTAAGGAATATAAAAGAGTCACTAAACTGAATTGACTGAGGGTGTCAGTGAAGTGACCAAATAAGACTGTCCAGGAGTTGAGGAATGGTTATGGCAAGCTGACATGTCAGCAAAGTTAATGGGTACTGGAGGAAGGCTAGAGGTTACACAGTGGAATAACCTGTGCAGGAAGGGAGAGGATAAAAAGAGGAACCCTCCCAAACCTTGTGCATCCCCCCCCTGCCCCTTCTCATCTTGCACCTGCTTCTCAGGCTGAATGTAAGGATGATCTGAGTAAAAACTATGCTTGTTTTTCAATATTTAATTCCAAACTAAAGAGAGATAGGATATTATTATAATTTTATTAATCTGTCTCATAAATACAGTAAACATTGTAGGAAATTTTCTTTGTAGGTGGCACATCAAAGCAAGTGAGATTCCCCCCAAGACACATTCACTATACTTTTGCAAAATAAACCTCCAGATATACAGCAGGCTGCCAAAAAGTTCTAATCTGCATCAATTCCAGGTCTGACAGTTCAAACAAGATTGTAATAAAAATACATCTGAGGTTACCTTGTTCAACCATCGCAACTGGTAGTGTACTTGTTAACAGCCTTGGAAATCCATTTAGTTATAAATAATATGTAAAAAGAGAAAACTCCCTGAAAATTAAATGTTAGAGATTCCACTTCAAAGTCCAGTGTTAAAGTTTTCATCAATTAATATGATCACAGAGCAACTCTACATTCTTTGCATCATTTCTACACAATTAATGAAGGTGTTGTCAATTAAGAATACTTGTTTCTACCATGTAAACCTCCAGTTAAAGACATAACTTTAAAAGAAATTATCACAAAATTCTCCCCTTCATCTCTAGCTGATAATGAGGAGAATGAAGACACACCATTCTAAAAATGATTAAATAATTTTTTTGAAATAATTATTAAAGTAAGTTTGTTTAATAATGATATTAATACATTATCATTGATTTATATCACACTAGGATTGCTTAAATGCTCTGCTGTAGGATAAATCTGTCAAAACTGATTTATTTGACAACTTTGCCGCCAAATCTGATCAAAATTTGCCAAGGTGCATGCAGAACCAAAGGGGGAAATGTCTCATAGTTACAATAACATTATTTCATCAACAGGAATCAAGAAAAGACCTTATAAAATTCATAGGAAAAGACTCACTATTTTTCTCTTTTCTTAACCCTTGACACCCTAACATCAGTATGCAAATTCTCCATACTGTTCTCCATACATTTCCTAAGGCACTTGAGTAGGAGAATTTGTTTAACAATCAACAGCTTTTTTGGATGGTGATTATTTTCTTTATTCTTGTGATGTTAGTGTTTGATTCAGGAGTGATAATATGCGAGGACATCAGATGCTAGTTACTTTTGGGGTCTCCAAGGGTTATTAATAGCAATTATGATTCAAATTTGAAAATATTTGCAAGTACAAAATTGAAGTAACAAAATTGCAGTGGTGAAAGTACCACTCTTTAACTGATTCAGTAGCATTGGGTTTTGTCTCCCTACTATGCGAGTTCACCATCATCTTCATTTGTAAGCAGTCCATATTTCTGACGAATTGCATCAGTTCTGATTTTCCTGTCTGCTCTTCTCTCTGCATTTCTTTTCTGTGCCTCTTCTCGTCTTTTCTGCATCTTTCTGTCTTCCTTTCGGTAACTCAGTTGTCTGCGTTTTCGACAGCACAGACAGTAAACACAGCAGCCAGTTAACACCAGGACCACAAAAGCCACACTTGGTATGACATAAATTAGAACAGAACCTAAAGTAGAGAAATATAATGAGCAATGATGTTAAAATCACTAGGAAAGGTAGAAAAGACAGAAAATAAAAAACAAAACAAGAGAAAGCTGTGTTTAAAGTAGAAGTACAGATACATTGTAGTCATCCCAGCCATGTCAGAGTAAGACTCAAGCCCAGGAATTCTGGGCTGCAAGTCTAATACTTTACTTTCAGTAACACTGTCTGTGAAATGTGCCTGCAGTTACAGCTGGCTGCTTATGCAGTGATCAACTTCAAAGCTTCCACACCCCCTCCCCCCAGTAACCAATAGGCATTTGACTGTCATCCATGTCCAGGGGGTGGAGAATTTTAACCTTGCCTGAGTGGGGTGGGGCATTTGAACTAGAAATGTCAAGTTCCTCCAGTGTAATACACATATTGTAATGGAGGAGTTTAAAGGTAAAGAGTCTGTTTTTGTGAGTGATTGGCTTAGAAAGACAATTTTCATATTGTAGAATGGTGTTTACAAGTGAAAACCTAACAGCAACACCAAAAACTAATACAAGACTTTGTTACATTCTACAACATTTGCTGATCACACAAAGAATTGTTCAACATTGGGTGGGGCATTAGAATGGAATTTTGGCCCGGGGGGAGACAGGGGGAAGGGGGGATTTAAATGAGCTGATCTTCAAAAGTTTAAATACCTGAGAGGTACCCCAGGGGAAAGGGGGGTGATGCTGAAGTTTCAAATAAATCAACACATTATGACAGAGTCAATGCAGAAGGCAGCCATTCATAGATGTTGGGCCTTAGAGTTTGACTGTCTTTATTCAATGAAGTTCAAAGCAGGGTAAAATTTCTTCACAGCCCCATACTATTGTTAAACAAATCTGTTTTCCCAATGGCAATGTATTGTTTATGTCATTGTTTTCTCTATCCAAGAACTGAATGCATAATGTAGGATGGGGCTGTGCAGAAATTTTACCCAAAGCAGGACCCATTTATAACCCTTATTACAGTTACTTTTACTGATGTCTCTTTATCAAAAGTAACCTTAAACACAAATAAAGAAGCAATTTAATTGATAGATCAGAAAATCGGTGAGAAAAGTAAACGGATCACTTTCGACTTCAACTTTATTCCAGTGTACCTCTCGACCAGGGAATATATATAACGGCGTTATATGTGACTCATAGTTTATATACTGGAAGATTTTACGCCACTATCTCAGTCGGTAGATTAATTATAATAAATTGATATATAATTTAATTATATTACTGGCGTAAAATTTACATTATATATATCACCGACTGGAAGAAATTACGCCGTTAGTTACCAGCGTAAAATCTTACATATATACATCACCGACTGGAAGAATCTCTACCACTCCTATCTTTCGTTGACATCTACCTTTTGAAGAAATCGTACAATAAAAATTCAAAACGTTACCTGCAACAAAACACTGCTTCCAATACCATTTATTTCCCTTGCAGTTGTGAGGAATAATCTTGATGCCCGCATCGTACTTCTTACATGTTACATCCGCGGCGCACCAGAAGCAACTGATATCTTTGACACAGTCACCACACGAAGTGTTTTTCTGTGAACAGGTCGTTTCAGGTGTTGGTGACGAAGTCGGTAGAACAGACGTACTTGTTCTATTGCTGCTTGTGGTAATCGGAACGGTAGTACTCGGCGATGAACTTTTCGAACGTGTCGAAAGAAGTGGAGTTGTCGAAGGTGTCGATCGCTTTGTTGTGATAGTATTAGCTGTGGTCGAAATGTTAACTGCAAACACACAGCTCCAGAAATAGATAACAAAGAAAATACACAAAACTAAGTTCTTCATTCTGTCTAATAATTTGGGAAAAGAAGGAAATAGCGATAAACAGCACCGATCTTTCTCAATAAACTGTTGTGAAATGCTGCACTTTCAAGAATGATGATGAAATAAATTATTTACGAAGAAGCCTGGAACTAGCCATAAAAAACGTGTTGTTTGCGTGAAGTTGCGTGAAACGTCACGTGAAATGAAATCATCCAAACAAGGTTTTAGTCAGCGGTTGATAGAAAGAAGTTAAGAAAATGGCGGAAAACTGTAATTTAGTTCGTACCGTTTGAAACGTTGATTCCTTGATCGTTAAAGGTAGATCTTCGCTCTTGTGGTGAAAATATCCCATATTACCATGGCAAAACCAAAGAAAATTACACAAGAAACATTTGATGCGGTTGTAAGAGAGAATATAGAAGAATTTGAAATGGATTTGCACGAGGCTATAGAAGATGCGAAGGATCAGTTTAAAACTCAGGGCGTTGACTTGTCGAACTTGATCACATCATATATTCAAGATCCAGATACAGGTGAACTTAAACACAGCAATCCTGTGAAAGGTACGTTAGTCCTATATTGGAACAGGAAAAGCAAAAATAACAACACCAAAAGCTAAGTTATCAGCTGATTTTTAAACTGTACATATAAAAATGCTCAGTTGAAAAATTTTAACACACCAGCAAGTGTAGTATATATGCTACGCATTTCTGTGCTATGCATTTAATCTGCTTTACCATCAGCTATTTGGATTGTACGTAGTATTGCTAGCCTTGATTGATGCATTAATGTAGGGGATATATGGCAAACTTTATCCATTTATTGGTTGCTAGGCGCTAAGTCGTCAGTCAAAGGTCAGCTTATAGTGAACTGATAGTTTTTCAATGATTGATGGACACTCCACCAACAATGGGTCCATGTCTTGGTTGAGATAGAAGAAAGACAGATATTTGGAGATTGAAACATCAGCTGCTACTATTAGCTAGCTATCAGCTGACTGTCAATCAATTGTGAACACTTAGCAACCAATAAATTGATCAAAAACTGGTTGATTGATGTACTGAATGATATATAAAGAAAGTTTTGAATATGAAAGCGATCTTTGTGGTAATGAACACTACTTGAACAGTAGTTAAAATAATGCCTGAAAAAATTTCAGGCCTGTACAGGATTTGAACCCATGACCTCTGCGATACCAATGCAGTGCTCTACCAACTGAGCTAACAAGCCAACTGGGAGCTGGTCATTATGTTGGTTCCACATAAACCTGTGAAGTGATGAATAAATAACTGTGAATATATGAAAATCATATATGTGAACTGTAGAAAAAGATGTGAATATGAAAGAGATCTTTGCGGTGATGAAAACTACTTGAGCAGAAGTGAAAATAATAATAAATTAAGATTGTTCTGCTGACCTATAATGCATATCATGCAGCCATCTTAGGTTAAACTCAAGACTTTTTTGTCTAATTCTAACTGTAGATGCCTTGGACATGATACGGACATCTTTACAAGAGGATGAATCTCAATTACTCTGGAAAGGATTGCAGGATTTCTCCACTGAATGCAATAAGAGCGAAAGTAACAGAAAATTTGCAGCAAGCAGAGATGCCTTCAAATTAATCTTTTCCAGTTGCAACCATTGTTACTTAGTGAAAAACAAGGATAACCTTGCTGCCAGTCTTGATGCTTTGAGCTCATTTTTGTGTGGCCAAGGAGATCTTGCTGATGTTAAAATGATTGAATTTCTCTCAAACTGTTTAAAAGAACTTAAAGAAGAGATTTTAGTTGAAAAAATTGTTAAAACCATAAGAGTTGCTTGCATCAAGAGTGAATCAAATCGTCAGACGTTTGTTGTTAATGGTGTCATATCTTGTTTAGTCGCTACTTTGAAAGATTTCAGCCAGTCAGGAAAAATTGTAAAGGAAACATGTCTGGCCCTGCGTGTTTTCACATTTGATGATGACATGAGTGTAGCTTTTGGGAAAGCGCATGAGCATGCTAAGTTGATTGTGGCAGAAAATGCATTTGGAGTACTGTTGGGTATCATGGAACATTGCAAAGATGTGGACGTGGCAAGTGAGTTATGTGTCACCTTGAGTCGTCTGGCAGTGAGGAATGAATACTGTAAGGATATAGTTGATATGGGTGGACTGAAGATGGTTCTGAAGTTATTACAAGACCATACTTCTAACCAGGTAGGTAGAAGTATTTTTAATAAGTTTTTCATTTGTGTGTAACATCTGCTTAAGGAACCCATGCCACCAAAATTAATCACAGTTTCAGTGGCCACTAGGAATATTGCTACAGTGTAGTTCTTCTCCCCCCCTGTACCTCCCCTATTACTCATCAGGTTTATCAATTGTGTTTTTTTGTACGTAATATTTATTTAACAACTGCATCACTTCCACTATTGGCAGCCAACTCCTAGATGGAGACTTCTCCCACGGCTAGCAAATCTTGGCAACCCAGCCATGAGCCCCCATGCAGGAAAGGGAAACAGGTACCTGTCACACTGAATAAACAGTGGAAAGAGGGAGGGAAGGGGTGGGGAAAACTGCTCGGGTGATGAGCTGACACCCCTCACAATGTTGCAAGTTCACACTCAAAGCATACACAAGAATGCCTCAAACAAAGAGAACCCAGTATTCAGATGCATGCGCATATGCAAGTAACTGCTGACTACTAGAGAATGCTAATGCTCCTTGTTGTTAACTCTGTTAAATTGCATTTAACTGCATATATATTCTTGGGTGGAAAGAGGCACTGTGAGAGGATAGTTTTCATTAATCCATAAGCCCCTAAGAGTGAAAGGTTTCTAATTTCTCCATACACTGCCACCCTTAGATCAAATGTATGGGTCATGAGAATAAGGGAAACAAACTTCAATTTATGAAGCTCCTGATTGTCAAACAAATTCTCATTCTCAGTATAATAGGAAATGTGAAACGAACAGTGTGGAGATTATGAATACTTATGTTTGAGTTTAAAGTATTGAAGAAAAAACTATGGGATCTTGACACCCACCCTCTTGCAATTCAGAATGCACTGCCCAAGATGGAGAGGTCTTGATAGATGGACAGAAAAAAAGAAAAAAAGGATAAACCTTGATGGAATATTTTAGCAACATTTGTGCTCTAACTCATACTCTTTGTTATAGAATATTTCCAAGCAGGTTTGCACTCTTCTAAGAGCCATAGCTGGAAATGATGATGTCAAGACTTCCATCGTTGATGCTGGTGGCCTGGGACTCATTGTTGCTGCCATGACGACTCATGCTAAGCAGCCAACAGTAGCAGAACAAGGATGTGCAGCTCTAGGTTCTATTGCTTTGAGAAGCCCCCCTAACTGTTCAGCTATCGTTGCTGCTGGAGGGGTGGAAGCCATTGTCAAGGCTATGCAGATTCATCCTGATGTTGCTGGAGTACAGGTAAAGGTTTTCATATCAATTTACAAAAAGCAAATATTTTTCTTTAAGGTAGAAGCCTTAAGTTCAGTGGAATAGTGGGTGTAGAGATTGAAGTTAATCACAGTTGTGCTCCAAGAATAAGTTATGGCTAGAAATTATGTCTTATGAAAACCATATTTCTATCTAATACTGGACATTTGTAGTATGCTTTATCAAGTTTGTGGTTTCCCTCAGGTTTCTGTTCTACATTATTTTTCATGCTTTGAAGTGCAAAACCTTCTTTCTTGCTTTCCTTTGCAAAATAAATTGAGTAAAACTCAACATGTTTACAAATTCTCCAAAACATTTTTGTCAACTTAAGTGTCAATCAATCCAAAGCTTCAACATCCCCCCCCCCCTGGCATTTGAGCATTGGTTTGTTCAAATTCCCACTCCTGAGTTCAAATACTCCACCCAGTCTTTTGTAAAAGGCAAAATTAGCAACAGTGACTTTCTACACATTGACTGAGCTTAAAAACTGGACCTTTTAGACCTATTTGTCTGAGCCATTCACTTAGGGATATGAACTATTTACCTCAAACACCTCCATATTTAAAAGCATAACAGCTGTATTCTGCTGGAAAGACTTTCTACTTAAGGTTCAAATTCCTCACCCCACTGGGTACAGACAATGGTCAAATGCCTGTGGGTTGCCTGGGGAGATGGGCATGTTGAAGCTTCAAATTGATTGGCTCTTTACCAGTGTCTTTCTGGGTGGCTAATCATACTAAGTACCATTGTCTCACCAGATATTACCAATGGAAATTTGCATCAGTAAAATAATGAAAAAATGTTTATTTCATAATTCCCATTATGATTTGAATAAATTATGTGAGCATTTTTTTAAAATATGCATGCCTAAACAAAGTTGTATGAAAAAATTGAAGACAACTTTGAAAACTATCTGTAATGGACTAAGATTTTGTAGAACCAAATAACTATTATTTTGTGAGTCAACCTGTAGTTTAACACTATGATTGAGTCAAGTTTAGGCTGGAATAAATGACTTGATCATTTATTCTCTCCAGAAACATGCCTGCCTGGCTCTGCGCAACCTGGTGGCTCGTAATCCTGATCACTGCGACATTATCCTTGAAGCAGGAGCTGAAAGCTTGATCAGGAAAGCACATGGCAAGATGGGTGATTGTGAGGATTTAGCTAAAGCAGCTCTCAGAGATCTTGGTTGTGATGTGGAACTTAAAGAGCTTTGGACTGGAACAGGACAAGGCAAGGTTCATCACTGATTTGAGAGAGCTCAAAGCTTTTTAACCAATCAAATTCAACCATAAAAAGAATCACTACTTTGTCAATGACAAATCCAGTGCCATGTGCTTGTTTTGACTGCAAGTTCTCCTTGGCTTCTTTTCATTTTTTTTTTGACTAAGACTGGTTGTTGTAATCACTGACATTGGTTTTGAATTCAGACATTACCCTGTAAAGAGGGCTATTGATAATTGTAAGGTAGCAGTGCCTTGCCTAGTGTCTTGGTCATAGTAGTTATCATGATTCAACCAAGGAAAATCAAAGCATTAATTTGATTGCTTGCATAGTTCTCATTTTGCACCAAACTGTGAGAAAACTGTGGACTTACTTTTGGTGTGACCAAGCCATATAAGAATGTGTGTTAGTTAGAACTCACCATCAGCCTATATTTAACATTGTTTTAAAATAAGATATTTAATTGCATTAGAGTGTATTAAATTGTAACAATTTTAAAATCATTCTTGCATTTTGAAATCTTAATGCAAAGTAAATCACAGCCAAGGGATACTGTGATGCAGTGTTCAGTACATGTACTTCTTAATGAAAAGTTTGTAGTGGAAAGAGATAGAAATTACTGAGAGGTTTTGGATGATAGGTAAGAGGAAAGCAAAGGGAAGAATAGGGGGTGGGGGAAGTGGGAAGAAAAATACTTTGCTCACTCTTGAGTGCACTTCCAGGGCTTTCCCCATTCCCAGTTTTTTAAAGGAAAACTCTGACTCTGACTGAAGACGAACAAGTTTGGCTCACTCACTTCTCTTTCACCTCAAAGATTCAAACCAAACATAGCAGTTTGGTGAAGTTCTCTTCACCCTGATTATGAGTTGGAATACAGCTTTCTTCCCTATTAATAGGACATCAACACTGCAAGTTATGTAATAACTAAGGAGAAGACTCTAAGGTCCTTACCCTGTCAGGTAGATGCAGTGATACACTGAATACTTAAAATTATACATTGAAATAGTTTTTATACTTAAACATTTGAGCATAGCAAAACTTATAAGACTAAAAGTAGCTATTTCCTTTACATTAAGATCTTTGGTTCTAAAATAATTCATAAGTTATTTGCTGGGGTTCATCAGGTCCAAAAAAAATTTCATTACTTCATTTCTTTTCAATAATGTCCCTAATTATGTAACCTACTGGGAGGGAATGAAAGTAGCTCTCATTGACGTTAATTCCTTCCATTTATCAGAAAATTGCCTCTGTTTTCAATGCAACAACTAAACTATCTAGAACAATTTAAAAATTCCTAATACCCTAAAAACACACCCTTCATTTCCTAGCTGCCAGATACTGAGCTAAAGTATTGCATAATTTTAAATATTGCCTTGAAAGAATTAAAAAATATATTTTAACCTTAGGTAAGTTAGCTTCCTTTGAAATATTTCCTATAAAACTTTTGGAAAAGTCTTGTTTTGGAGAAGCCCACACAAATTAAAACTAAGATATAGGCAACCATGATTGAGGCTAACGGATATCGGAATATCAGCCAGTTACGAGCTTGAGTCCTGGATCAGGAGACAAAAGAAAGTTACCATAAATCAAAATTAGGATAGAAATTTAAATGTGAAAATACATAACCACAGTTTCCACAAAATATGTACAGAGATGTAGGGATCTGTCTGTCACACAACAAAGTTTATGTACATCCTTTAAATCCCAGAAGTGATGAACTAGTGCTTTTCCTTCTCAAATTTAATAAATTATCCTGCAAACAAATGATGAGAAGAGACAAAATGATCAGTGGGAGGGTACTATCCTGATATAGCACCAGCTTCTCTTAACATACTTTCAAGGAAATGAAAAGTAACAAGATGGGAGAATTGCCCATATGATCTTGGAGGTAAGTTGTTCACTAGTAGTTCAGATAAACCCCAGAAAGAAGGACACAAAATGTAACCGATCAGAAAACATCAAACAAAATTTTCCAAAGTAGTGAACATTGGTATAAGAGCAATTTTCAATTGAGTATCAAAAGTCATCTGGGATTGCATTAGTTTTGCTTCACTTTGCCCTGTGATTGGCCCAGAAAATTTGCACCTCTCTTTCAACCAATCAGATGCAGAACTAACCAATCATGGCTTGGGTGCCTACATTTTACCATGCTTTAAGGAGTTTGGTGGATTTTCTTTAAGTTCTCATAGATTCTTAAAGGTTTTTTCCTATCTTTTGATTGCCTGATGTCATAAGAATTTTGGTCTTGAATTTATGACACTCAATCAAAAAGTGTTCTAGAAAGTCATCTAATATTGTTCTTTCCTGTTTAATTCTCCGCTACCCAAGTAACAAGAATGCACAAATGAGAATGTATCAACTATCTAGGAGAAAGAATAAATTTTATTATTACTAATGATTGTAATGCTACATTTACTATACCTTGTAGGTGCTTTCTTCTCAGCATACACCAGCACATATTTCACTCTAACAACTTGGTTGTTTGTAACCACATAATATCTCTCTGGGACATCTCCTCCCTCACTGTTTCTTGCTCTTGCCCTAGAACGAGTTAGTCTGTTGTCATTTGCTTTAGATTTGATAGTACACTTCACATCTGGATGGTCCAGGATCTCACAGACAGCCACGCAACTTAATCTTTCTCCTATAGCGCTGTTTTTCCAGCCTGAACCAAAACTACTGTAATTCATACAAACAGTTAGATCACTTGACAGGTAGGTCCCTTCTCCAAAAAATGATGTCTAAAGAAAATAAAGAAAGGTGGTTTAATTTACAACTCAATTTAGCTAATTAAACACCATAGGCGGTAAGTTTTTAAAGAAACTGTGGTTTTGCATTGGTGGGAGAGTATAACCAGGTATTTAGTATTATCAACTGAGTTGATAATGTAAGTTGGCCTCCATGAAGAGTTTCAAAGGTGAAATTTTGAGTGTCAAAGTGAATGTTGGTCATGGTCATTCCCTGACTAAGGGTTAGTGCTTGAAACACCAGCATTGAAACTCTTTGCAGTGGCCAATTTCTGCTATCAACTCAGTTGATAATACAAAATTACTCAGTTTAAAAAATGAAATATAAATAGATTGATCCATAAGTCTTTAACTGATTAGATTGAGTCTGTACTAAGCCTATTTGCCCAGCCAAACCAGAGCTTATCCCAGTTTCCATGTTAGCATGAAGCAACTGGGAGTATTACTACTCCCCTCTGGATCCAATGCCAGTCCGTGCACAGTTACCCCCCAAGCATTTCATCAGGCTTCCCAGACAATTCACCAGTACCTATTAAATATACTCCTTGGTTGGGTTGTCCAAAGGACAATTAAGCTAACTGAGGGTTTGCTGACAATTTTTTATTTTGTTTTGTAGCTTTGTGAACAGTTTTTATTTGCTCCTTCAGTTTTGTCTTACGCTAACTTTACGGTAAAACCCCTCAAGAGGTAAGCCCTAGTATCTGCTTTATTTCAAGATAAATCAAGGACAAGGTAAACTTTTAATCCTGGATTGTTGCTAACCCTCTTTCAAACAAGTGGGCCCTGGGTGGAGAGAAGTGCTATGAGAGAAAAAGAAAGAACTATGGGAGAAAAGTGTTTTGTCCAAGAGCACAACACGTTGACCTGACCAGGTCCTGAACATACACCACTTGATCCAGAGTCCAGTGCACTGACCATCAGGCCACTGGATCTCCTGTCCACTAATTATTCAACATGTTTATTAATGTTCATATACATATCAGCCATTCATCCTTGGAGATCCAGAGGAAAATAATGAAAGGGCAAGTGTAAAATAAAGGAGCGATTTCAGTTTATGGCAAACTTACTTTGTGGGCTTACAGTTAGTTGGACAGTCAGCCAGTCTGCCAGTCAGTCAGTCAGTCAGCCAGTGAGTTAGCCAGTCAGTCAGCAAGCCAGTAAGTTAGCCAGAGAGTTACCCAGTCAGCCAGTCCATCAGTCAGTCAGTTAGCCAGTGAGTCAGCCAGATAGCCAGTGAGTCAGCCAGTCAATCAGCCAGTGTGTCAGTCCGTCAGTCAGTCAGTCAGTCAGTCCATCAGTCAGTCAGTCAATCACAAAGCCAGCCAGCCATTTGATCAGTGAGAATCTTTGAGGGATTACCAAGTAACTCAACTGAGCAAACAGCTGACAAGACTCACTTTGTTAAGATGTGCATGTAATCCATTATTCAAAATAGAATGAAAATTGTCCACTCTACTTCCATGGTAAGCATACCAAACATCATGAGTCTGTGACATGTCATCAAACATTGCACTGAGAGTATTTGTCTCACTGTAAACAACTTCGAAAATGAAGTCAGGTGTGGTGGAGCAGTAACTTGCTTGACCAGTTTTTTTCTCAATCTCCAAGAACTGTTGGCATTAATAATAGCAAAAATAATTGTCATGGAAATTATAAGATACTAACTTATGTAACACAGGGTTTACTTTTTCAGGCAGACACCAGTAACATTCACCAGTTGTGGTACTTCTTAAAGCTGCCTACAATTGCCTAAAATTCTGCAAATTCAACAGGTTAGAGATTTGCTGTGCTGGTTTGACAATTTCTTTCACCTACTGTGCTTAATATAAGAATCCTGGTAGCACCAGCAAAAGTAACAGCTAAGTTGTTCATTTCATCAACATAATATTGCCTAGGCTGTCATTGGAATGTTATTAATCTATAATAAAATTATAATATTTTAGTCTAAAAATCTGACTTCTTTCAGGTACATGGAGTGCAATTTTACAATTATCATAGGGCAAAAACGACAGAAGAATCCATAATTAGGCAAATTTTTATTGAAAAACATACCACAGATTTCTTAACAGATCTCAGTGCAAAGGTTCTATCCAGTGCCCAGTCCAAGATATCCCAAGTTTCTTGAGCATATACCTTCTCACTGGTTTCTGTCAATAGCTTGTCAAATGAAGGAACTGTGCTGCAAACTTGAACCTGTGAAGACCAATTTTAGTGGTGCTGTCCATTACAATGAAGTACCACAATTAACAAGTGGGTAGCCATCTTTGCCAAAGAGCTTTTGGGTGTATGTGTTAAAAGATGGCCACAATTTTTTCAAAGAGGCCTTAAAGTTTTTTAAACCATCCGATACAGTCGTCAAAGGTCAAATGGATGTAGGAAGAGGGGAAGTGAGAAGAGGAGGAGTGGAGAGGGAATTAGGGGAAAACGGAATGTCCAGCTCTAAAATGTAAAGTACAGCTGAACTCAGATTTTTAGGTGACCGACACTCACCAGCCCTTGAAAATTCTTATTACCATCACCAACCACATATGCAGAAGGAAAGGGTCTTAATATGCTATCATGTCTATAACTTTCCAGAGCTGAAATAAACAAACTCCACTGCAGGTCAGCGGATGTGAGGTCAGATTCAAGTCTTTGTAGCACACGTTCCTTCGCTTCTTCAGGTTCCATTTTTTCCAGTGTGTAAGAATTTTTATCGGGCTATCACTTTCCACATAATTTCCCCATACAAATAGTTACCAAGGGAGCATCTTCGGGAAATGTTTGCAATCGCAGAAGGCCACGTAAACGTCCGCCATCTTGAAATTGGTAAAGCAGTCTGGGAACTCAATCTACACGAGTAGCCAATCAGAAAGCAGCGCGCCAATCTTAAAAGTCGAGACAAATATTTCTAATGTGACATTTACCGGGAAGAAGTTGGTTTGGGTCGTCAGAGGTCGTCGAAATGTCAGTGAAGCAAATTTATTACTCAGAGAAATACTACGACGACGTATTCGAGTACAGGTAAAGACACTAAAAACTCGCTACCTTTTATCTCTTCATTCTAGATGGTTCGTAAGCTGGTTTTGAAGCGAAAACCACCACAGTCTAATACATCTTGGCAAATTTTACTTCTTACTTGCTCCTGTTTCAAACGAATTAGTCTTCTCTCCAATTGTCGTTGTTACAATTTTGACTTGGAAGAGGCACCAACTAATACTCTCTAGCTACTGTAAGTTGTCCAGTTTGTTTCATTTGAGAAAATATCTGAATATATAACTGTCGTTTAAAGTCTTGTGTTGTAAGAACAGATCAGTTTAGGCGAAGGTTCATTTAAAAAAAAAAAAAAATGGCGACGTTTCTTTTTACGCGTCGCCCCGTGAAAATGTAAGTTTTTTCGTTAAGACCAACTGGTGTTGATCATTTGGTGCCTGCTTTTCTAGACATGTCTTGTTGCCGAAGGAAATAGCTAAGCTTGTCCCAAAACGGCATCTTATGTCAGAAACCGAATGGCGAAGTCTTGGTGTTCAACAATCTCAGGGTTGGGAACATTACATGAAACATGATCCTGGTGAGTTTTAGATTTTGTTACGTACTGCACTGTCTTAATTTGTGGCTCATAAAAGTTTACAGAGCCTCTCAGAAACGCATATACAGTCTGGTCTGGTCAGCATTCACTTGCAAAGTGTGACGTTCATCCTCTCTGAATTTTCTTTAAACTTGAAAAATTAGCAAGGAGAGCTCTGTTTGTAATTTTTGACCACAAAGAGTATATTCTCTCATCCGCTTCCCCCTCAAGAGTAGTAGACTCTATGCAATTAAACGTCTCTTAACAGAAGTGAAAAGAAAGTTCTTCAGCTGAATTAATTGCAAGCAAATATATGGAAATATTTTGAAAAAACATTAGACAGAAAGGGCGAGAAACTGTCTTTTCCATGGTTGTGGGTATGTGTTTGACCCTCAGAAACCCATTTCTCCAATAATATGAGAATATTTTGCACTATTAATTTTAAGAGTTAGATGGAATGAGTTGAATGTATACTATTTCTCCTTGCTGTATGAATATTTTCCATATTTAGCACTAAATTGTTAAATTTACAGGAAAGATGTACTTCATGTGGTCAAGTGAGTGTTGAAAAAACCTCTATTTTGCTGGGATTGAAAGAATTTTTTGCAATGCTTAAGATCATCAACTTTCATTACAATTTTTTAATGAAATTTGTCAGGCTTCATTTCTTCTATTAATTGCACTGCACCTGCAATGATCATTTTTTTTCTTCATTATCAAGTTTTTGGGACCAGTTTAAACAGGTCATTAGTACTATACAGGTCTTTTGAAGCTTTGAGGGGCTGGGGAACTGGGTACATCCAAGATTCTACTTATGATTGACTGTGTCTTTTCAGAGCCTCACATTTTGTTATTTAGAAGAGAAAGGACGGATCTGCACAAGAATTAGAACACAAGAATGCCATTGTAGTAACTGTCAATGGAATGAAGCTGGAACAGTGTACTAATGCTAACCTTTACATTAAAAAATAATAATATTAATGATATTAAGTTTATGATGTAAATTTTCCAGAGTTCATTTAAATTGTTTGATTGTACAAATGTAATTATTTGTGTTTCATTGATTCATAGTTCAGATAAATGAACTCAAGGAACTTCATAATGTACAACATAATTTATTCATCAATTAATTCAAATTATTTATTTGACTGCACTTTTGAGCTTTCTTACATAAAATGTACTGTTTGCTTAATTTGCTGCATTAATAGAAATAGCAAATGGAAATTTGTTTATTAAAAAGTTGTCGAGAGTTAAGCATACCTTTGATTTTCCACAAGCGAAAGGCCGTCCAAGATATGTTTAATGGGATAAATGAAGTTTGTATCTCTTTGAACTGCATGTTGTGGAAATGTCTTTTTGGCCCCAAAGCAACTCATTGTCCATCGAGTTTTTAACACATTACTCTCTAAAAAATTAATGGCCCCTTCTTATGAGCCAGGGTTGAATCACATAAATCAGGGCAAAAATAAACCCTGGACATGATTTTGGATTGCCAATCTGCACTTCCTCAAGGTTTGCTTTGAGCCTGACTCTAGTGAACCTTCCTAACTCACAAAAACCTGAAAACCCAGCAACGTTCTTTCTGTGTCTGCAATGCCTTGCTTCCCCTTCAAAATACCGTAATAATGTTTCTCATTTTAACCAGAGTTATAGCAATAAACTTTGAGTCTGAAATTAAAAAAAAAAACGAAAACATTGGAACTGTCCAACGTAAAAATATTTGCACCACAAGCACATCAAAATCCAAGACATCTCATGCAAAACAAATTTCCTATACAACAACCACCACTTTATTTGATGGTTACTGTCACTGAAACTGCTGACTTTTCTCAAGCCCCTGGCTGACGTCCCTTAGAAACAGAAAATCAGAAGACAGAAGACGAGACTACATGAACAAAGTCATTCGAGACGTTCATTTGTCACGCCATGCCTTGCGTTACAAACAACGGAAGACTGGGCTAGAAAATCATGAACCAATCAAATTGTGCAATCATTTTACTTTCGGCCAATCACAACGAAAGTACACGTTCATAATTTTTCAATTCAATCAGACAGTTACCGACTCTCGGTTGTAACCGATTTTCACTACATCTTCTTCGTTTCTTAACGTTTGCCGCTAGTAATTTCGCGCAGAATGTCTGTGAGAGATATTTATTATTCCCCAAGATACGCCGATGACGCAGGTGAATACGAATTTAGGTAAGACTTGAAAATCCAGAGTAGTTATTAGTAATGTTTGCTTCCTTGATTTCGAAACGCGAAGAAGTGATAACAGCTGCTTGGTCAAACTTACAAATAGTGTAACAGCTTCTTCCTAATAGCGTGTTCTATTTTTTGTACCTACAAGACATGTTATCTTACCAAAAGACATCGCTAAGAAAGTTCCTCAGAGGCTTATGACAGAACAAGAGTGGCGAAATTTGGGGGTTCAGCAATCACAAGGATGGGTACATTACTTGAGACACGGACCAGGTAAACAGCTTCAAAACAACGTGTAACGGTTTCAGAAATGAGAAACAGAGTAAGACTACTTATTGCCTGTGACTTGTCTCTGATTACGTTTCAAATCTACCTGTTTTAAGAATAGTTGTATCAAGTAAATGCGTGGAATGAAATAGAAATCTCTCCGCCATTGTTACCGTTTTGGCTATGTTCTTGTTGAACTGTGTGACAAACTTTGTAGGCACAAGCCAAATACAAATTTAAGAGAACAATCAACAACACACTTAAGCTCCAAAATGATCCCATGCCCTCACCAAGGCAAATTTACAAATTTAAAATAGGTAACTTGGTTGTAAATCTAAATAACTTTTGTCGTATAAGAAGCTGTTAATTGCGAAGAATACGGTTAAAAGTTGTAACCCATATTCTACAATTTTTCTACAGAGCCACATATACTCTTATTCAGGAAGAAAGTGAAGTAAAAAGCCTTGCTCAGGAAACATATTGTACAGACATTTATGAAATGAATTTAAGTTGGATTTGAAATGTAATGATAAAAACAGGGATCATATTCTTGTCCACTCTGTCAGAGGCATTTTAAATGGTGCATGAACAATACGATCAAGCGCTTGCAAAATCATCAAGGGGCTGCTTCAGATTTAACATGCTGTCAATGTCTGCCTCTCCAGGACTTATTGTGGGCCTGTTAGTTATATTTTGTACATATAAATGCAATTTTTTTTACTGTGGAAGTCTTAGATAGCTGTCTTTGCATGCTTGCTCTCAAGTTACCTTATTGGTGGTAAAATGTTTGACCTTGTTAGAATGTTCTTGCCTCAAAATTTTCATGTGTTTCAATCATGGAAAAACATGCCACTTTTAATTTTACTTTAAGTAAGATTTTCGTGATATGTAATGATTAGTTTAATACAAATTAAATAAGTTTCTGTCGTCAAGAAGCCTCTGATCATTGGTGTATTAGATATGAAAATTGGCTAATTAATAGATTTAACATGGGGTGTGCAAAAGAACCTCCCAGGCCCCAAGAGGATTTCAAACTGAAGCTCATTCGATCCCCAGCTTGATGCAAAGCATAAATTGTTCTCCTGGCTGCAGGACAAGCTTTAATTGTTTTATATCATTGAAATGAATGGAGTCAAGTGTGAGGGGAATGAAAAAAGTGAGAAACCCCATCTTTTTCCTGCCTAATGTTTACCTTGGCTCACCTGAAAAAGAAAAAAAATTCCCCTGTACTCCATACTGTTGTCCTCTTTGGCCTCAAGTAAAAGATCAGGCCTAGAAGTTCAAAGGGTCAGTGATTTTGCCAACTACTTTTGTTCAGAACAAAAATTGAGACAGTTAAAGTGTTAACATCTCACTGCTAAAACTTCAGAGGGTTTGGAGACAATATATCTTTAAAATGGCTGGATATTTTATTTTTTTCTAGTTACCTGCACATGGAGCACAAAAATACAAAACTCTTTAACTTGTGGCCTGTTTACAGCTGTCCCCTCAACTCATTCTTTTTTATGTTCATTATGTAAAGAAAAAAAAACCCAAACAAGAGGAGAGCACACAATACAAAGCACTAAATTCAAAAAGTTTTCATTTGATATTTGATATGATGTTAGCTATGTGTTCTGATGGCAGTACACCAATACTTCAGATCCAATGCGACCCTCTGGGAAATGGGTGTGAAAGAATCTTGCACACTGCAACAGAAAAAACCAAAACAAATTTCACTGGTTAAAATGCAGCTTTCAAAGTTTATCATTATAACCCTTGCTTAAGATTAAACAATCATGCAGAACATATGTTCTTGTGAATGGTTAGCCTGCAAAGTAGGTGTAATTTTGGCGAGCTAATGCTCAATATTTTCCTACCAAAAAAAAATGGCTGCCATCTCTTATTTAATGGCAGTGGTGGGAGATTGAAAAAAAATCCAAATTGATGCAATAATTTGATTGATATGTCATTACTTATATCTTCCATCATAATGAGAAACCTCAAATCATTTAAAGTGAGGGAGGCAGTTTAACATCACCAGGCAATAAAGTATAAATTTTAGAATGTTGATCAAGGCAAAACCCTAAAATATATAACCACTGATTATAACTACAAGTATCTAAGACTTAAGATTACAATAAAAAAGTGTGGTTGTCAAACAATGTTACCTCTTTGAAATTAAAATTTCCCAACCAGTTTGTTACATCCTATGGAGAAAAAACACTAAATTACGAATGAACAAAACAAAGAGTCTGTAACAAGTAAAACAAAACAACAACAAAATTATGGAAAAAGGAGGTACAAAAAGTGAACAATGGTTACTGGCAGACTAAAACCTTCAGTACCTATATTCTCCATACTGTTCTCTATATATTTCCTAAGGTGCTGACAAGGAGAATTTGTTTGACAATCAAAGAGTTTCTTTAATTGGTGATCATTTTAATTATTCTCATCACATTAATGTGTGATTCAGGGGTGATAATATAGGGAGAATTTAAATGAGAGTCACTCCTACAGGTTAAAGGAAGTTTTTGGTTGGCAGTATTACTGCCGTTGGTGGTAATTTACTGTATGGTGGAACAAAAAGTAATTGTTTGCTGATGATTGGGAATTTTTACAAGACTACAAATCAACAAGGGTTGGGGAGAAGAGATGATGACACCCAACAAGAAGTCTTGTAGCTCAGTTGGTAGTAGTGCTAAACTAGAATCTGGGAGGCATGGTTTGAATCTCATCAAAACTTGAATCTTTCCAGGCTTTTTTCTGCAACTACTAAAATTGCAAATTGCAGCTCACCTGTAAGAATCATTTTCTTACCTGATTTTCATCTAAGGTAAATTTAGACTTGTTTCATTTAAAATTGTAAGACTAAGAGAATGATACAAGTATGGTGAAGAAAGATCAACTAACGGGTAAAAGCACATTGTACAGGACAATGTGTGTAGGAAATTGAAGCTGATCCTGATGACCTGAAGAGAGTCCATACTTTTCTGATAGCCACATTGTGGGATTTCTGTAAAACAGATCAGCTTCATCAATGTACCCTGCCTCATCACTTGGGGGACATTCTAATATCCTCATGCTTATGTTTCTGTGTACAAAACTATAAAAAACCCTGTTATTTAATGAGTTATTAGGTTTATATTCATCCACAACCAAAGATGAAGTAGGACATAACCTTCTGATTCAGTTAGATTCAATCTACTCCTTATGAGTGTTACTATGTTCTCTTTGCATTCTGATGCTCAGAAACTGTGTATTTTCTCGCAAGTTTATTTATTTAACAATTTGCTGAAGGCAGGTAAATTCACAATAGGACAAGGTTGTCCCCTACAAGGTAAATTACCTTAACATCAAGATTCGACATCTTGCCTTTATGTGACCTTTCCAACAAGATCAAATTCCTTTTAGAAGTCATGAAAACTTTTATAATGTTGTACCTAGTTTGAACAATAATTCTCAGTAACTGGTAACTACTGTCATGGGTCAAATCTGTTTCTTGTGTTAGGCTTTCAATTCATGGAGAAGAATAAATTACAAGGAGGTAAATGAGAAAAATGATGAAGTTTGTAACCTAATGGATCCTATCTTGTTTGCATGCAAAAAAAATTTTTTGAACTTCCTATTTTTCAATCATCTTCCTTGACCTGAAGCTTGGAATGGGGTAGTTAGATACTAAAGAAAAGGAAAGCAAATACATGTACAAAAAAAGCTGAAAACAGTTTCACAGGAGCAACCATCAAAATTAAAAACAGTACTGTACCTATAAAATGGTGTCGAGTGACATGGCATCAGAAATAATACAGACATGTCATTAGCACTTCTCAGTTTGGAGCTTTCAATTTGAATGTACTCCATGACATCAGTAGTTCCCTTTTGGTGAACAGTGCTAGTGTATATAGCCAATGGAATGTTTGTTAGCACTAGAAATAGTACCATTATCTTTGCTTTCCAACCAGATTTCATCTTCCTTGAAAAACCACTACTAAATGCATGATCCTTTTTCTCACACTGATACCCAGAAAGGAAGCTTAGAAAGAAACCACAGTAGCACATGGCTAAGGGGACCACTGGAAAAATGAACCTAAACTCCTTGTGTCCCAAGAAACTGGAAAAAAGAGGAAAACAATAGTTTTTATTATAATCTGGTATTTAACTATACAACTGATCCTACTGACTAATAATTCAAATGTTGCAGAAAATCAGGATGGTGCACTTTTCACTCAGAACAGTCTGTACCAAACACCCCCAATATTTCATCGCCAGGTGTTCAGAGGTTGACAAAATATTATCACAAAAGTTTTTGCTCTTATTTAAAAAAGAAAGATTCAGGGTTCTCTTTCCATTTGCAACAAACCTGTAGACAACGATGCTCCACAAGATTAGAAAAGTCAAGGTTTGCTGCCTTTGGGAAGATTTGTAAACACCACCAACAAATGGAATCAAGTGTGTAAACATCACAGCAGGAAATCCTTGGGTGAAATACCTGTGAAATATGTAGGTATTAGCCAAGGCAGAAGCATAATTTTTGAAGAACAACTTACATATTGTATTCTACAAAAAGAGCTCCCTTTCCTTTATTCAAGGAAAGAACTGCTCCAAGCTAGAGAAGTGAGTCCAAATTTTACCTACCAGTGCCATGGATGACTTCCATAAAATGTTCCCATATCATTAATAACATTAAATTTGATGAAGTTGAGTTCCACCAGTGTCCATGTGCCATGACACCAACTGTTCACAATGAGGGACCATAAAATAGCCAGACATCCAATGGGAAAAATACAGTTAATAATAAATGATAATTTGTTTGGTGATGAAAATAAATAAAAAGCACACAATGGAATCCACATGACTGCAGCTGTTGGTCTGATAGTACAAGAAAACGCTGCAATACAGAGAGCTTTGAACACTTGTTTAAAGCCATCTTTTTTGCTGCCGCAAGGCCAGTAATAAAGTGCTACTGTTGTCAACACGGTTTCTAGGGAATTTGTCAGCGTCCTAGTCACACAGTAAAGTGTAAACCACGAGATCAAGTAGCAGATAAGTGTCCATCGAGCAGTTTGTACATCGAACCTCTTTGCTGCTAATTTGTACAAAAACAAGTCGCCACACGACGCAAAACATGCCTGCAACACCCTGGGAATGACAACAAGGAACTTGGCGGTGTCAATCCCAAATAGGGCTAAGCACTTGTAGCTTGTTGCAAAGATCAAAGGATAAGTCCAGCCTCTAAGACCCTCTTTCCATTCCCACGTCAAATATCCATATCCAAATGCAACTCTATGGGCTACTTCGGGTCCTTGCCAAAATTCATCCGGGACGAAAAATGTTTGGATCATCACAGCATTAATGACCCTAAAGAGGAGTAATGCCGGAAACAGCCAACTTTTTGACGGGTAAATAACATTTGGAGATACCATAGTGATTTCTCCCTGGTAGATAGAAGATGGCTGCTCTGATTCCTTATCCATCTGAGCCTGTTTTCTTCTTTTGAGCTCAGATCCTCCAATTTCTTCGACCTCCATTTCCACCTTCGGTATCAAAATCAACAAGGCGTCTCTATAGTGTGGAGCCTAGTCTCAACTCTATCGCTAACGAGTAACGCCTGATGATATTTGATAGACCGTAACGATCTAGTCCTAAAATGGTACTTTCCTTCATTAGAAGCATCGGAAGAATGCCTTTACATCAGTTATTTATAGTGACATTAGTCGGAGTTACAAGTGGTGTATATATCTACAAACCGTTGCTCGAGAGATACGTGAGTGAACATGGTACAAAGAAGGAGGATAGCGCCACCATTCAAGCTGCAGTTGAGGCAAAGAGTACAACGTCGGCCCAAAAGAAAGATCGTCCAAGTGAGAATTCTGCAAAAGAAAAAGCAAGGAAAGAAAAAGCATCTGAAAAGTAATTAACCTCTCTTATGTCGCTCGCTGAAATGAAATGTGCAATGTGATGTCTCCAAGAATTTACCAGTACCTGATATGAATTAAGGTGGGCTGCTGGTGACTTCTATCCCGAAAATGACATCGTGAAGCTGAATACTGCGATCGCAAGCCTCATAAGGTGAAAATCAAGGTGGAATCAAGCTTAATTGCACAGTGATGGCAATATAAGTATAAGTATGACTCTGTCTGAGGAAGTTAAATGCACTCGGTCCTGCTGGGGTGGAATACTGTATAGACTGTGCTTTAGGGGTAAATATCATATGGAGCAAACCCTTGATGGAGTGAAATTTTTGGGGAATGGCTTACAATTCGTATCCTGTAGGAAATGAAACTTGGAAAAATTGGTCATAATTTTTTTTTTTTGAATTTTCACTTTTTTGCCTTCCTTTTTTGGGTAGCAAACAGAAGCTTGAGGAAAAAACTGAATTTGAATGATGTGATTGATTCCTACATGATACATAATTCTAATACATTTATTGGTAGTTGTAAAAATTATACATTACTCAGTGATCAAATTTTTAAAAGGCATTGTTTAAACTAGTCTAATTAGATCTTTCAGATTTTTGCTAATGTTCAAGTTTGCTCATCAAAGAGATTCCCCTACATTTTTTGCAATCATTTCTCAGAAGCAGAACAACCTAAGTCTGAATTGCAAATGTGGTCCAATCCCTGAGTGTGAACTTTTTGTGTACAGAATTTATAAAAATATTTTTTTTGCCATCTTTTGAGCATGAAATCTACAGAAACTTTCTCCCAATGCCTGCAACCCATTTCTAGCTAACAAGTGAAGACCAGCAAAAGTTATGTAGAGTGAAAAGAACTGCAGTGGCCATCTTGATAGAATTAATTGAGTAAGAACTGAGAAAAATGACCTCAAAGAGAATATATTGCTGGTTAAACTAGACCATTCTCAAAACAATTGAATAAAGAGGGTAAGTTTCTAAAGAAACTGTGGTGCTGCATTGGTGGGAGAGTGTAACAGGGTAATTTAGTCTTATCAAGGAGTTGATAGTGTAAATTAGCCACCATAAAGAGTTTCAAAGCTGATGTTTCAAGATTAGGCCCTTTGCCATCGCTCTGACAAATTGTGGTTACACATCAGATGTTCTTTGAAGTCCTTTTCCTTCTCAATGTCCTAGTGGGTTCCCTGGGGTTCAGGAGGAGCCAAAAATGCATGCATTAATGCCTTGGAACTTAGAAGTATGGTCAAACAAACTTTTGTAATGGTTCTTGCTCCAAGGGATTTTAATTTTTGTGTTGATTTTTTAAGCGATGTAATTCATGACCACCAGCTATCTCACTCTGTATTAGCTAATATTTGTACTTAAATCAGATACTCTTGTGATCAACACTTGTTATCAAAAGTGAACTGTAATGTGAATTACCTTGTATAATTTGTATTTGAAATAAAAGTAGGCAAATAAAAACATGATATTTTAGCAACTTGATGTCACTTAGTGAATGTAAAGAATTTTGATTGGATAATCATGTACATGGAAATCAAAGGGAGAAATTTTACAATACACATATTTATTTACAAGAGGTAGCTGTGGTGATGTTCTTTCAAATAATGTATAGTAAGGGAACACACCTAAAATGGGTTTTTTCTTAACCATGACCTTGGGTGAGCTGTGTAGAAAAGCAAGACATTGCTATTGAAGAAAATCATAAGATTAATTCTTGTAGTGCTTCAATACTCCTATTTACCAAGCTAATATTTTGCATTGTTTGCTCAAAAAAAAAAAAAAAACTGAAGCAGACTGACTTTCTCTATCTAGAATTCATCTCAAGAGTGTTCTCAGGGTGCCCTATGCATGAGAATTAACTGTTTTCAAAAATATATCGAAACGGCTTTTAACTTTATTTCGTTTTCTTTTCTTATTGTCAAATTTCCACTCTTTTCACAACTTTCTCTATCTCAGCCAATCTTTTGTCCATATTGAGAAATAGTATGTCTATGAGACTACGTTTAAAACGCCAACTTAAACAGCTGAAAAATTTCAGCTTAAAAACATATGCTGTGACACCTTCAGTTTCTTGGCATATTTTGAAAACTGTTCAGTTGCAAAAATGGCAACTTTCCAGCGTTTTTTCCCTTCCTATATGCAAATTTTGACGCTCTTCCCGCAAGCGAAACCGCTCTGCTTGTGTACATTTTTAAAGTAAAAGTGCCGAAGAGTGAGTTATTTGAGAAATTATTGACATTTAATCCTTCAGATGAAGCGATTTGAAGTATACGTGGCAGTTATACTTTTCTGCACGTAGGAGTTGTTCCAAATGACAAAAATTGGATCACTTTAACTACGAACTTACAAGAACGTAAACTTTATTTACATCCAGCTTTTGTTTGATTGGTTAGCTTCACAGGGGGCGTGAAACACGAGCAAAAATATTCAAATGTAAATGCTGTAATTGGCTAGTTACTATCACATGACCACTATCCCGGATTGACAACATGAAACGCTTAGTTGAGCAAAAACCAAAACATTCGACTGTTGATAGAAAATATCTCAGAATCGTGTGCTAGTAAGTAGCGGTGTTTAGAGAAATCTCTTGTTTAAGTCGTCTTTTCATTATGTGATTAATTTTCTGCGGGAGTCATGGCTTCCAAAATGTCAGACGATTTTGAAAACGAGTGGACTTTTGTCGATAAGGATGGAAAAGTTGACATCGAGGTAAAGTGCATCTTCAGTTTCTTGTCGTTTTCAGCGAAAGAAATGTTCTGGTTTTCCACACTCTCGTGCTTAAAAACGAATATGTCTTAACTAGTTTAACTAGTCCTTCTACATAGGTAAATTTGTGGAAATCGTCTTATCTAGGTGGGGTATATTCTAAATGCAAATGCTTCAACCGCCCAAAATTTTGGCGCCGGGATTTTCCGCCATTTGGAGTGTAAATTCAGGATGTTCGAAACCTGCATTAATTTAGGTGAATCGCAGCACAATATTGGGTATTAAAAAATTCCCCCGTGCATTAGCAACACTGCTAGTTAGACAAGCGCACTATTATTTTGGCTGTTTGTTTACAAAACGTCCCGAAGTCTCCATAATTTGCATTTTGGACTTGTCGTATTTACCTTTTCGCCTGTCAACAATAACCACGTGATAACCACGTTCGTTTTACACCTGTGATTACATAAGCCGGGTGTTTATTATTAAACGTGAAAATGATAACAAATTTGTTGTACTCTCTACCTCCTTTTCTCAGCCCATTGCTGTTGTTACATTCAGCAGTCCGCACTAAGCAAAAAAATTATGTTGCCGAGCAAACTGTAACTTTTGTTAAATAATTTTTTTGTCAAGGTCAAAGTTCTACATTAAATTGGAGTGATTTTAATTTTAATAGAAATATCAAGGGAATTGTCAGCTTCATAATGTTGCCTTCTCACTATTTGGCTGATTTGATCTTAAGTTAGAAAATTTTTAGTGATACAGATTCTTATGTTGATAATTCACTTTGGATAAGTAGAATTTCTATAATTTTGACTCAATTTATGTAAATAAAATTAATGTTGAATTCATCATTAGATGATCATCTTAATTTCAGATTTATTTGGCCACGAAATTTGTAGGTGCAGAGAAAGAAGAAAGAAGAAAGAAAAATAGAATGTTTACTTTAATTGATTGCTATAAGGAGTCATTGATTTTCAAGCTACCAGAGATTGTTTCAAGAATATTGACAAAAACTGAGAAATGTGTTTCAATGCTAAGCAATTGCCTCCACCTAAGTTCTTGAAATCATTTTAAGTTACTAGCCATGCCTACTTAAGCAGAGAAGTTTTTTGACTTTATTTTTAATAATGATCTTATAAATGTTTACTTTAAATTCCAAAATTACTGCAATACCTGTTATAAATAACAATATTTATAACAATTACTGTCATAAATACAGTAATTGTATGGATCCAATAGCATTTGGTGCTGATTCTGTTTAAAGAAATTATTGCTGGCCAAGCAATTTGTTTCTTTACAATATCAATACAATAACAACTAGATAGGTGATGAGAATAAAGAAAAATATCAATTTGTGTATAATTAGTTGATCCAATACTAAATTCTCCAAACTAACATTATAAGAATTGTACGATAAGACAGGAAGGAGAATAATAAATTTGATCTGGGAGTTAAAGGGTTAAATCTTAGAATTTCAGGGAGCTGTGAATGAAGAGCATTCTTTGTTTTTATATTTCCTTGCTTTAAAAGTTATATTTGGTTTCCTTTGTTGAAATGTTTAGTACTTGAAAGAAACCATAAAAAACAGCTTAATTCAGCCTATTTCTTTCTTTTTTAAAATTGAATTTGTTATTCATCTGTGTATTATCTTATTAAATTTGGCTAATTTCTTAAAATTTATTTATTGAATTAACTCTTTAACTCCCAGAAGTGATTACCATGTAACTTCTTCCTATAATATCCATTCATTATCCAGCAAACAGGTAGTGAGATTACTCAAACTTATCAGGTACAAGATATTGTCTTGATTGAACACCAAATTCTGCTAACCAATTTACAAGGAAATTTGTAGTAGCTAGAGGAGAGAATTAACAATCAGATCATGGGAGTTAAAGGGTTAAGAAACTTATA